ATACTTTGGTGTGATATCGAAAAGTTTGTTGGTATTGTCCAATCGTGAGATTTTTAAGATTCTGGATGTGTTTTATTTTTATTTTAGAATGTATTCATTGCAAAAATGTGTCCGCTAGCCTACAGATAAACGACTAGTTAACTTGATTCGGCGTTGGCAACACGGGATTGGATTTCAAACCATGCGCGATTTCGGAAGAGCGGCAGGCAGTTTCCAATGAGCTCAGTTTATATGATTTCACTGCAGTGGAAGGTGAGGTGGTGTAACGCGGTGGTAGGGTTGATTTTTCGATACGTTTTCATATATTAACATGAGAATATATTAACTATACAGAATTCCACACTGTTCCCAACATCCACCTGGCCAGTGGAATGGGTTTTTCTGGCGCAAACCCTGTGAATAAAAAATACAGACACCAGATTTTTTTTCAAATATCAGTTCTAGTCTGGAAAAGTCCTATTTTTGTCTGAAATATCGCGGCTCTAATATCATATAATTTCAGTAGGTATGAAATCTTGCGGCTCGAATGTCATAAATTTTTGTTTGATTAAAAAATCGCGGTTTGCACTTCGCAAACATGTCATTTCATAAAATTTTCAACTTCCGCAATCCGCATTGCTTTACCGTTTGCGCCAAAAATATCTTGCAGAAAAGACATAAACATCGTAATGTAAACAAATAAACAAAACGTTTGTTGAAGATCGCGCATAGTTGCGGTCATGTCAAAGCTGATGCCTAGAGATTTGGGCACGGGCATCTCCACTTCGGTACACTTGCGCAATTTCAGATACGGTATTTGGGCACTGAATCACAGATGGTAGGGACCAGTCCACTAGCGTTCGCATGTCCAAGGTCTCGTTTTCTTGCCCTCCTCCTTGGCGCTGTGACTTCATGACTGCGTAGTATGACTCTGTGACTGCTTCGCTGCCTCCAAGGCTTAAAGACACGTCTAATAATGTGCAAAGATCTTTGCCTAAGACAGTGTACAGCTCTTCCTTGGAAAAGATGAGCGCCCTTGGAAAACACGCCCTCATTTAATGCTACAGTCAGAGGCTCGTCCTTATTCGAAATTTTCACTACAAAATTTTTCTGAAGTTGAAAGCTAGCATTCGTTTCTTCCGTTAGTTTTTCAACTGTGGAGTCATTGCCCAACTTGCTCATTGGCTCACCAGAAAGTTGATGAAAGATTTCAGTTCCGACAACGTGCAACAATTCTCCCCATATTGTGGACACCAGAAATTCTTTAAGTTTATCAAAAAGCGAATTACTCAGGACTGAGTTAATATTCAGAAAGCCTGATTCCCTCACATGGGGAAGATTGCTGACGTAGTTGACAAACTTTTTGAATGAAGAAATGCCATGTAAGTGGAGCTTAACTTTGTCGTATGGACATTTTGTCTCGCTTCTCTCACCGCACATTACTGTATAAATTGAATGAAGATCTAGGCATTTTTCAAGAGTAGTGCACGCTTCATGAATGCAACTACTGGAGGGTTCATTGAGACTGTGCAAAAGATCTTTTCGAAATTTTTCGGCTGATGCACGACATTCCTTGAGCTCACGAGCTTCCCATGCAATTTTTCCCTTCTCCTGGTGCACCACGAGGTAACCGGGGAGAAGATCCATTTCTTTATACTTCAAATCTTGAAGTTCCGTCTCGTGCTGGGAAAGACGAGGAAGCCCGGCCAGTGTTTCCACTGAGATGGATTTCCAGTGCTCGATGAGTGAATTACTAAATTTTACCTGCTTCCAGATAGGTACGGTGAAGTTCTGCAGGGCGTTCATCACTTGTACGAGTGGCCCCAGAAAATCCAGTAGAAAGAGCTGTCAAAAAGGCAAGTTTGTCTATAAATCTCAACAAGTTCATTCACATACCCGGATAAGGATCTTATAATCTATTCGTGTTTCACGCTTACCATACAGTTTTATATAACAGAACTAAAAGGTCCCGATGTGCCTAAATAATCACAGAAACGGTCATGTAAGGATTAGTAAGGAATCTTATGATCTATAAGATACAGAACAAGTTTGAGGCACTAACATAGAATTTGAAATTGAAAAAAATTATACTTGAATTACATTTAACGGTGTATATTGCTGAATATTTCAAAATTACTGTATATTATTACTGTATATTATGAATTACAAAAAAATCAATGCAATGAAGCTAATAAATATTGAAACAAGAAGCCTTATAGTGCATTTTGAGCCAATCCATGATTAAAAATATGCTCCTTGAATTTCTAACACGCACGTAAATTCTTAAAAATAGACAGAAAACCACATGAAACGCTGTTGATAACAATCAAAGCAAATTAAAACAGTTAATATCATAAAAATACTTACCAGATCATACACAAAGTCTTGCCCCTGTATCATGAATTTGAGCTCTTCGTTGGGATCGTCTTTGCTGCGTGGATTCATCATATGAAAGCCTGCCACCAATGTTGGCAGGCTTTTTTCGATACTCAGCCACTGCTGGTAGTTCGAGCTCATAAATCTGCACAAGTATACATCAATTAAAACCCTCATGATAATCGTCTATACAATCTTCATAAATGTTCCATTTTTTCTTGGTGTTAATTCCATTGATGCACAAAAATTAAAATGCATATATTCAGACGTGAACTATGAAAAGTTACTGCAGTTTAAGCAAAATATTTCGCTTTACAAATTCATCATCTATGAATGCATTCTTCAGGAGCCGTTGAACATCGCCTTGAAATGTGAAATCAGTTGAATAGATGATTCAAATGTGAGTAATGCATTATTAATCTATCCCTCGATGAATATTACGAGACAAAATATATGATCCCAAAATTTAAAAAAAATCACCTATGTTGTGCATAAGATTTGGGAGCATGAGCAGTAGATTTGTTAGATTCAGAAATAGCTCTCAGCATGGCGTACCCTTTGCCATGCTGTAACTCGTCATTAAATACATTACAACGCTTGATAAAGGTGTTCAATAATTGGGCCGATCCTTTGAAGGTTTGCTGTTTAACAGAGCGCACATCTGTGACCACTAAGTTCATCCAGTGGCCAGCATCCCACGTGACAGGGACAGCAAAGGCACGTTCCGATGAGACCCCAACACGCTCAGCAAGTCGTGCAGCAAATCCCGACAAGACAACGTATTGTCCGTCACACGTTGCACCTGGAAAAGCATATACTGATTAACAAGTCCAGATGCTGACTATTCATTACAACAAAATAATTAATTAGTCATCTATGAGGCATAATGAGGGTAAATGGTGACGGCAATAAATAATTATACTTTGTACTATATTTTCTTACCATTGTACCCATGATTCCAGACCAACCATTAAATTTCTGGGGATTTAACCCACAAGCTGCTAAGTTGAGTAAAATCTCTAAACTTCCAGCAAGCTTGCTACTAACCTGTTAATCGCGTCAAGTGATGGTCAGGGAGCCCAGTTTTTTCCAGAATCGTATTAATTATGCTATCAGCAAGCTCTACTGCACTTCCTCCGATGAGCTGAACCTGACTTGTGTCATCAACACTGTTGACATCAACGGAATATACAGGAGGTGCGCCCACAGGTACTGCGATCCTTTTGCCGTTGAAATTAACAATCAAGAGGATTGCTTGATTGGTGTGTCTGTTGACAGTGGACTTGTTGGCTGTAATGTAGAAATGGGGTGGTAGTCCCGTGCTGAGTAGTGGCTGCAGCAACATCTGATTGTTTCTTTGACAAATCACCACAGTCGCCGCACGAAGAATTTCAGGAAAGTTGTTCCTGTAAGAAATATTAACAAATTAATAAACCATTACAATTAATGGAAATGTTTTTTCTTTGAAAAGAATAATCATAATTTAAGTTAGGTAAAACATACTTCTTTTGCAATAATCTAAGGAGCTAACCTTGAATGGCCGATGTCTCCCACATCCACTCTGCATGCTTTCAATAGTGCAATGACACTCTCGTAATGCAGGGCCGCGCCTTTCATTTTCAGAACATGGAGAGCTGCCCGACAGAGTTTCAGTTACGGAAACCGAACGAGGCACTGACAAAGCTCCCTCTTCTTTGCCTTGCGTAGCTTTCCAGTGGAATGAATCCTCTCCTGACTTCAAGTGGGTTACGAGACAACTTTTGAAGTTGTACCAACTTTGACCATCGCCATTTTTATATATTTCGATTTTAGCTTCGGGCAGCTTACATCCAACAGATAAACCACTTGTCGGAAGTTTGAACGATGTTGAATTTTTTGTTATAAGGACATCACGGGTGGCGTAATCGTGGCAAGCTGAGCATCTTATTATATGCTTATTTTGATGCTGGCGGAGACAGAGCTGGGCAGCGCTACTTGGAAATGTAGCGGCGCTACCGCTACCGCTACATGCTTTAAATGTAGCGGGCGCTACCGCTACCGCTACACCCACTAGATTGTAACAGGCGCTACCGCTACCGCTACAGTAAAATGTAGCGCGCTACATTTGCCGCTACAATGGCCAAAATTATTGGAAATCTCTAAATATTTATTGTTCTGCTATTGGGATTTACTCATTAACATTTAATGATAATAAAACATTTTTAAAACATATCAATGCAACTATATTGCAATTAACCTAACCGAACTAATATGGGTTACCCCAGGGTTAGATACAGTAAATAGAAGTTACAGTTATTTTTATGTTTTACCTTCCCTACATGGATGTGAACTTTAATCTTCCAATCTAAGAAATTATCCACATATACATATAAAAATCGGTCTTTTTTGTATATATATGTGGATTATTTTTGAGGTTGGTAGATTAAAGTAGACATCCATGTAGGGAAGGTGAAACATAAAAATCACTGTGTAAAAATAACTGTAAGCAAACTGAGAGATGAAAAAAACTGTAAGTGGTAACTGGTAACAACTTAACAAGTAACTAACATGTTGACACTAGTAACAGGCTGAGGTTGACAACATTACACCGTACAGTTTTATTCTGTAATTTATATTATGTATGAATCAAGCTGGTTTTTAAATAATATTTAATAATATTAAGGGGACCGGCAACAGTAAAAATCGGAAATTTTGGCTTTACCGTTTTCGTGACTCATTTTGTAGCTGCTGAAAAGGCGCGTCTAACGCAGTTTACCGCAAATGTCTGTGCGTGCTATAATTTTTGCGTAAGACAGTTTTAAAAATATATATATGAACATTTTTTAACAATATGTACAAAGATTTATTTGAATTAAATCTGTATATATAGATCATTACTCTCGTTAATTACAAAGTGTTTGCACTCGTTTGAAAGCTACAAACGCGACGCGTTCGACAAAGCTACTACCATAGATGTACATGCAATACTTTTTTGTGTAATGCAGTCTTAAACTTTTATAAAATGATCATTTTATATCATTATTTACAAATAAATGGTATTTATATGTCATTGTTTAGGTTAATTGCAAAGTGTTTGCACTCGTTTGAAAGCTACAAACAAGACGCGTTTAACAAAGCTACTACTATGGATGTTCATGCAATAGTTTTTGCGTAATGCAGTTGTAAAGTTATGTAAAATGAATATTTTATATATATATTTAAATATAAAAAGTCCCATTTATAGCCTATTATTCACGTTAAATTGAACATAAATAGGTCTAAAGACGTGTGCTGGTACCTTGAATGTAAATAATTGGCAATGGGAAAGCTTGGGCGACAATATCAAGACTTTTTGGGCATATTCTTCTGTTTTCAATGAATTTTACTTTATTTGGCTCCCCTGAACAATTTAAAAATCCAAAAAACGCCATCTTAAAAAAATTATAACTCCAACAGTTTTCAAGCTACGGCAATGGCAATGAGAGACATACCATTCGATTTGTAAAAACAATATCTAGCGACTCTAGAAGCCTTTTTTAATATGTGCATGGTTTGACTTATATATGGGAGGGGGAGGAAGGTGGGGGTAAAAATGTAAAAAAATGGTAAGAACGCGAAAAAAACGATGAGGAAAATAAAAAATCGGGGCTCTACAGTCGCTAGATATTGTTGTTACAAATCGAATGATATGAGTCTGGACATTGTAGCATGTGATTTGCAAAAGTTATAAACTTTTTTAGAGTACCCCTTATATGCCGTTTTTTATTAATTCCACGTTTTCTTTCATTTCTTTAAATTTACATGAACAAAAAGGTCTTAGATTTCTGTTTTACATATGTGTACCAAGTTTCAAAACGATCCGTCTGTAAACAAAAAAGTTTTGTTGGAGGGTAGCCGGTCCCCTTAAGTAAAATCTAAAGGCTTTATCTATAAATGTAGCGGTAGCGCTGTAGCGGCAAAACCTCGTATCGCTACTTAAATATGTAGCGGGCGCTACCGCTACCGCTACATTGCCTTAAATGTAGAGCCGCTACCGCTACCGCTACTGAAATTGTAGCGGCCGCTAGTAGCGGCCGCTACATGTAGCGCGCTACTGCCCACCTCTGGGCGGAGAGTGAATAATTTTGTGGAAAGAACGTCATTTAGATTGTTACAAGCATTCAATACACAAATTGAAGATAAATTATCCTTTGCGGTAGTTGGACCTCCTTGCTCTTTTTAGTTTGTAAATGTTTCATAAGCATGCTTTCTAATCTCTCTAAGCATTCACCAATTTGTTTGAGTGTCCATTTGGATGTAGTAGGCTGCATCATTCGAGGAAAGCTGGATACTGAAATTAGTGTGAATTGAAGATAATTCCTTTGTCACTAATGTTTACCGAAAACCTACCGATGTCGGGAAAGTGCTTAACGAAAAAAGTGAATGCCCGCAGTGCTATAAAACCAACACAGTGCGCGCTCTCATACAAAGAGCATTCAAGACCTGCACATCCGAGAGTTATTTGAAAACCGAACTCAGATCGTGTAAACAAATTCTAGTGAATAATGGGTTTTCAAATAGAACAGTTGACACTGAAATATCAAATTACCGATCGAGAGAAAACCGAACCAACAATGAAACAATATCTAATGGAACCCCCACAACGGTCTTCTACCAAAACCAGATGAACAGAGGCTACAAAGTGGATGAACGAGTCCTCCAATCAATTATTCATGATAATGTCAAGAGCACAACGGATAACGAAAATATAAAACTTCTGATCTACTACAAAAATAAGAAAATAAAAAACCTTGTAATGAATAATGATCCCTGTAAAAAACTGGTCTGCTTCAAGAAACTAATGTGGTTTATAAATTCTTATGTAATAAAGAAGGTTGTAGACTTCTTCCAAACATGAACTACATTGGACTTACAAGTACGACCTTGAGCCGACGACTCACATGCCACCTACAATCTGGAGGACCACATGCGGGAGGCTCACAATGAGACCATCACCCGAGCGACATTGGAGGCCTGCACCAGCATAGTTATGCGGTGCCCCAACCCATCGAGATTGACGATAGCTGAGGCCCTCATTATCAAGAGCGAGTCTCCGACTATCAACCTCCAAACTACTGGATTCGTCCGGACGCTGAAATTATTTTCGGAGTAATTTTTAAGCTAATATTTCGTATTGTATCCACTTTACCTTTGATATGTACTTCTGTCATTTCAAATTCAATTTCAGATGTTGTAAAACCTTAACCAGCTTGATAATGAAAATTGTATTTTCGAAACGTCACAATATATTAAAATGTCATTCGGAAACCTGCTTTTTGATCTCCCGGCTCCAGCTAGAAATTTGGTTCGACTCATTGAAAAGACGAACAAGAAGATTGTAAATAAAAAGCATGCTCTGGTCTTCAATCAAACTTCTATGCACAATTTTGTGATGACCAATGATGTACTAATTTTTTGATAAGTAGAATTTTTTTTGCCGAGCGAGGTAAATGTAATCATAATTCTTTGTTGTTAATCAATTTTTCTGTTAACTGGAGCCTTTGCTAAATGAGGTTCTACTGTAAATGTATTTTAAGGGTGTCCCTTATTGCCCCATCGCACAGAAATGGCTTCCATTTTTTGGGGATTGAGATAGGCAAATTTTGTCAATCACGTTTTCTAGCCGACACCTGATTGCAATTTTTATGTGTGTCAAATTTTTTAATATGGTAAATATTTTTTTTGCTCCAGACCTTAGTAGAGGTACTCTTCCAAAATCTCACTTTTCACACTTTTTTCAGCAATTTTTTGGAGATAGTAAATGTATGATTTATTAACTAGCTATATACATAGGTAATAGATACCGTAGGTAGTAAAAATGTTGAAGTTTATGCCCCTATTTTTAGTTTTGCAATATTTTGATTAGGTTAGCTGCTACAACATTTCTGCAAAATGTGGGATGCACGTCCCGATTTACGGTACCCTGCCCGTCCCTTATTACCCCATTTGATGGTACAGCTCCCACCCCCTCAGAGGCACTATGGAAGCACTTGTCCGACTCCAAAACCATATCATAAAGAGTTTTTTGCTAAGAAAACAACCATTTGCGTATTTTTCTACATGCAAAAGGCTTTCAATACAACCTGGCAACACAGAATACCGCAGTTCACCCATCAAGCCGGAATTAGAGGTAACCTGGCCCTGTATATCCTAGAATTTCTGCGCTACCAATCTTTCAGAGTGAGGGGGTGTGGCTTTGCTATCACCTGTGTGTCCAGAACCAGGGTGTGCTGCAGAGAAGCGTGATTTGCTGCATGCTCTTCCTGATGACTATATATGGGATCATCTCCACACCTCCAGCCTTCCTCCTAACGTAGTTCTCTCTATATGTTGAAGATTTTATGGTCCATGCATCATCCCACTAATTACCCGTCCTTGCGCCTTGTATTCAGACTGCTATAAGCCGAACCAGTCAGTGGACCATGGTCTGTGGCTTTTCCTTTTTTGTGGCCATGCACTTTAAACAAAACTGCTCTCTGGATCAACCCACCTCCTTTGTTTTTTCTGGGCACTCAAAGTACTGTATCCACCATAGCTAAATTCCTTGGCATGACATGGGACTACAGGCTCCCTTGGGGGCAGGTTTTTGAAGGGCAGCTGCCTCTGGAGGATGAACCTCATGAAGAACCTGTCCGGACAGTCGTGAGGATTGGACAGGCTGACCCTGCTTTGCCTCTATAAAGCCATTATTAGAACAAAGATGGATACGGATGCATCATCTATCAACACGCAAGAAAACAAACCCTTTCTTTACTAAACGCAGTCCACAACGCTGCCATCAGGACATGCTCCGGAGCATTAAGAACAGTGGTTCCCAAAGTGGGTGATATCACCCCCTGGGGGCAGTGGAAAGATCTGTAGGGGTGGTGAGGAAGAAAGGGCAGTAGGGAGGCGGCAGTCCACGAAGTTGGAGTCAGAAGTTTGTACGTTTTTTTGACAATTTTTACTCAACACGTGCAGAACATGACTCCAACTTGAATAAATTTTCAAAAGCTAAAAATCACCGTTTGGTAGTTAGGAATTTATATACAAAATTTAGTTCAAATCTGTTCAGTAGTTTGAAAGAAATTCTTTGATCACTGGGAATTTCGGCCCACATCACCATATAACTCCCAAATGAAAGTGAAATTTAGAAATTTTTCACAAGCTAAGCATCACCGCTGAGTCCTAAAGAATACGTGTTCCAAGTTTTATTGAGCTGCGTTCATTAGTGTGGGAGATATTCATTGGTCACTGAATTTGGAGATTGACCATGAAACCGGCAGTGAGTCCGGTCACGAGTCTGGCCATAAATTTGCCCCAGCTGTCTTGAATTTCTAGTGCTAAAACAGTTGAAACTGTAAATGGGGTTCTATTTGTGAGACACACATTTGTGTTTAACCATTCTCTTTCAAAATTGCAGCATACTAAATATCAAGAAAGAGGCATTTGTTTTTATATATGTCTGTCAGNGGGGGGGGGAGGAGGCACTAGAGATTCACTGGGGAGCCAAAGGGGGTGACAGCTGGGATAGTTTGGGAACCACTGATTTAGAACACCCCCCACTATTAGCCTCTACACAGAGAGTGGCGAACCTTTGGCGCAAAATAGACAAAGCTGATCTGAAGTGCTAGTAATCTCTCCCCTGCTACTACCTACTACTGTTGATCATAGTTTACCTGTGATCATAGTTTAAGTTGGGTCTTCATAATTTCTTGACAAATTTTCTTGGAATAGTGTCAAGTGTAGTGGGCTTAATAAAATAATTTCTAGCCTCTGGGTAATAATATGATTTATCTAACAGGATAAAAAATTATTTCCAGCTTGGAAACATACCAATATTGCATAATTTGAGCTCTCTTAGAGTGCAACTGTCTTAGAAACTGTAGTAGATTTTTAGCCTTGATTTCTTGCCTAGTGAAGATTTAGGTACTCTTAGTCACCAGATAGCCAAGCCTGCCACCATGTCTACGATGGGACCAGATGCCAATGCTCCTTGGTACATGAAGTACGGAGCTCGTGGCGTGGGCACTGCTGGAGGAATAAGTGAGTGCACAGCTTATGCAGTTAATGATAACAAATTTTAGGCCAATATCTATTCTATTGAAGCAATTTTTCATTGAATTTTATTGAAGGCTTCATTATTTTGTGAATATTTTCATTCATTTCTGTTTGAGATGACTAAAAACTTTTTTGTGATGGTTATGTTTATTTGAATTTTGTGCTTTGACAGTTTTATATAATTATAATTAATATTATAATTATAATTATAATTTGTTTAACTCAACACAAAAAATTCATGCAAATACTAGATTAATGCCTAGCATTCTAACCTATGGCTCCACTATTTTATTATGTACAAATTATTTTATCTCATTGCTCAAAGCAATGTAGCAGCATTGCAAAATGTTATTCTGATTAATCAGATGTCAATGAAAGTGTTCATTTTTTTTCAGTTGCGATGGGCCTGGGCTTCTTCAACTGCCTGACATTCTCAGCCTGGTGTCTCGTGGCTGGCATCTATCAGCTGTCAGTGAATGTCTGGGCTAAGTGGTTGACCAGTTGTCTCACTATATCATTGATAATTAATGCGATTATTAATATGAAATTATTACTCAGATTATGTTCCTTATTGATATGAGATGCAATGAATAAATATCAATATGTGAACACACTTGTTCAAGATCTGTGGCATGTGATACTTCTCTTAAATTTGTTTCATTTTCATTGATGCTCAAAAATTTGAACCTCGATTGCTTCTTATTTAACTATATTGATGATTATGCTAAAGAAATGTGGATTGTGAGCTTAAGGAAAAGAAATGTGAATAGTTTGCAAAAATCGGGTGTTCTTTTAAAATTGTGCCTACCTACCACTCCTAGTTATAAAATTTTTCACGGCTTCAATTATTTGTGACAAAACCTCATCATGATTTTTCTTATGTGTAAAAAGTTCACCTTCAAAAGGCTATGTTAGAAGTAGGAGACATGACATCTGATTGAGGTAACTGAAGTTTTGATTAAAATACCTTTTTTTTGCTGAATCAATACAAAGAATTAACAGTCACTTAGTTACCTAAATTATTGTCACTTGTTCTCATATCTCAGACTAGTAAATTCAACTATCAAATTCATCAGTAAAGCAGTGTTTCCATTGAGCCTTGCATGGATATTAACATATGATTGGTTGTCAGGTTTGCGGGGTTCATTGTGGTGTCAGCAGAGGCGCCGTGCTGCTGCATGTTTATTGATTTCGTCCAGCGCTACTCCAAATTTGTGGAGGAGCGACCACAGTGGCAGAAGGCTGCTCTATATATTGTGTGAGTTCTTAACACTACAGTCAGCAATCAAACGGTCATGAGTACGTATTTTTATTAACATAAAATAACATAGTGATGTCGGCGCTGAAGTGTAGGCCTGATGTGGCCTGTCGCCAATTCTTTTCCTTTTCGTGCCTTGTTCATAGATCTAAACTCGTGTCATTTGACCGGATCTTTTCATGACTGGCGATAGTTTGAAGTAGCTACTAGACTTCCACCGGGTTCGATAAGGAGCTAGGCATTTCAAATCTTCTGGGATGGAAACCGTCTGGTCCACATGACTTGTTGGGATTTAGAGCTACCAGGCGCTTGAGAACCTCTTCTTCGTGTATTTCAAAGCATGTTGACTTCGAGCCGACTGGGCGCTCCTCAATATCTGGAATACTGTTCAAGTCCTCATCTGTGAACACACTGCTGAAGAACTGATTAAGAACCTTAGCCTTGCCCTCATCAGAGGAAATCTTTTGTTGGTCTACTTTCAAATCAGAAATACCGTCCTTTGACTTATACTTCGAACTAGCGTACAAAAAGAAGGCTTTCAGATTCTTTTTTGCATTTTTAGCAATATTTTTTTCGAAGTTTTTCACTGCAGTGCGACAAACTTTTTTAGCTTGATTTCGAGCTCTGGCATACAGGTTATAATCGGACTCGCTGCGAGTTCGTAAATAACGCTTGTATGCTTCTTTCTTGGTCTTTAGCTGAGTCTTAACTGCACTGTTCATCCACTGGGACTTTTTGACTCCTCCAAGCGTAATCTTGGGTACACAAGCATCAACTGCAGACATAATCGTGTCTTTGAGAAACGACCATGAATCAGCCACATTCATGTCCTTAATACAGTCCAAAATATTGATTAACAAATGTTTCAAGCTTTAAAATAGTAAGGAAGGTTAGTGTCTTATGTTTACATTAAGGAAGTAAATGTCAACAAAAGTTGGGAAAACTTGATAACTACAGTAATGGAGGGAGTTGTACCAGTATATCTAAACTAGTATCTTTTTTATATTCACTATGCCTGCCTAAGCTTGTAATTTTTTATCATGGATATAAAGTCTGAATAAACTCCTGTTGGTCATTTTTTATTTTTATCTGCTAATTGAGCAGTTGAGATTGAACGTTTACTTACAGAAAATTAGGAGGGATTCAAGCCTGCTTGCTAATTACAGCAGTGAATAAAATTTTCATCTGCCATTCCTATTCTTCAGAATTTTTTCAGTTTCCTTCAGAAATTTCCCTAAAAATACAGTTGCTGTGTTATATTCCTCTTATGGTTGAAACTTGATTGTCCTGTTATATATTAGTGTAATCAAGAGTCACTTCATTTTTTACCAATTTGCTGGGTAAAAATTAATTTCATATAAATGAGCTTAGATTGTGCTTTGACATGTTTAGTGTACAAAATGATGAGTCACAGCATGTATAGTGAACAAAATCTTGGTTCAAAGCATGCATGGTGAACAAAATGATGTGTCATAGCATGTATAGTGAACAATATGATGTATCTGAGCATGTCTAGTGAACAAAATGATGTGTCATAACATGTCTAGTGAACAAAATGATGTCATAACATGTCTAGTGTGCAAAATGATGTGTCATAACATGTCTAGTGAACAAAATGATGTGTCATGTCTAGTGAACAAAATGATGTCATAACATGTCTAGTGTACAATATGATGTGTCATAGCATGTCTAGTGAACAAAATGATGTCATAACATGTCTAGTGTGCAAAATGATGTGTCATAGCATGTCTAATGTACAAAATGATGAGTCATGACATGTATAGCGTATGTAAAAAAATTATGTGTCCTGGCACATCCAGTAACCCAAATGTTGTGTTGCAGGCTATCCCTGCCCGGTATCATCATGTGCCAGAGTGTATCCATATTCTTCGGGTCAGGCTTCATCTTTTTAACTGGAGTGCTCTATGGAATGATGGCACTTGGCAGGAAGTGAGTATTGTTTCATCATTTGTTGCTGTGCCATATTGTTGTCTTTTATACCTACATATTACGCTTTGAAGAGTTGTGTCTGTTGCTGTCACATTCAATTATATTTATTTGGCTTATAAACATGTTAGGCTCCATTATAGATTCTTGTGGTTTTCAGTATTTCTTCAGGTTCATATGTTCGAAGTAGGAATTTATCAACTGTCTTTTGATATCTAGTCATTTGATTGAATTGGCCATTGTGTTTTATTAAGAATCGTGTTTTTATGTCGTATCTAATTTGAGTTCTCAAAAGAGATGTCATTTGAGGTCTTGAATGCCATGCACTAAACTCTCAACCAGTATGATATTAAAGGAAGTTGGGAAACGCTGAGCCTACAAGATAAGACAAATAGTTGAGTTGAACCATAAGTTGAAGGACCATGCGCAATTAATACAGAACCAAAATAAAGCTAGTAATTGTAAAATGCCAATTAGATAACTGCTGCTGAAGAGGAGAGTTAAATATTTCATTAGTATTACTCTTGTGCATAATTGCAGCATTGTTCCTAGTATATGTGTAAGTTTGGGTTTTCTAAATTGATTGATTAATACGTTAGAAGCATATGATTTCAATTCTGTTACTTTGATAAATGTTTACCACTTGTCATTATTTTATTTTCTAACTTGAACTATGTATTCTCTGATTGTGAACAAGATCACTAATCCAAAAACTTTTTTACACAATCACATGGTCTTGTGTTGTAAGAGCGAGCCGATATCAGCTGCTTACTCTAGTGACTGCAGTTTAGAGAGCCACCCGTTTTTTATGTTTGTTGTTGCAGTCTAAAGACTATTCTGACGCTAGTCATAGTATATACGGTATGTTTCACAAATTAGGGGCAGGGAAGGACAATAAGCGTTGACTGGATCAAGATGTGCTTGATCGAAGATACACTTTTTTCAGGCATTAATATGCCTGGAAGAATTTAGGTTAACCTCGTATTTTTAGGATGGTTTTTCTAGAGTTTGTAAACGTGTGAAAGCTTTTGTTTTCATGATAAGTACTCAGCTTGTTGAGAGGTCTTGCAGCAATTACTTTGCATCAATTATAATCCTGAGTTGGTGAAAATGTTACAGGTATTTTGACAATGGATACTTAACTGTATGGATTTTAATTAATTAGGTTGGTATGAAAGTTGTATAGATTTTTTGACCATCACTAAGCTGTACGTGTAGCACAAACAGTCAATCTGCCCAGCGTATAGTGCCAGTTGCCCTCTGTCCTACCAAACAGCGAGGCACGTCTTTTTCTTCTATCAGTTTATCCACATTATTACTCGCTTGTTACTCAACATCAGTAAAAGTTGATAGTTGGCAACACATGGTTGAGGTTGCCTCAACTCATACTGTTTGAAATCAGTTTCTTAATTTGGAGACTGTTGGTTCAAAGCTGCTGTTTTTTAGGCCATAAAATATTGGTTTATAATGAGCTGAATTATATCTGCGGAAATATTTCAGAAAGCATCACGCCTTAACTCAATGAAGTTAATAGATATTTGTAGCATTCTTCTGTTGCGTGCTGGGGCGAATCTCCCCACACCCGTCGATACCGCGTCGTGCGAGCAAACAGGGTCGTTATTATTCAGGCACCTAGACACTATGCATGCTACTGAGCTGACGTCATGACCCTAAGCCAGCCAGTGAGCTGACGTCATGACCCCAAGCCAGCTGACACATCCTGCGCCTAGGAGTCCCAAGGAAGCGATGATGGCCGCTGCGAGTCGCCTGGGCGGGGGCGGCCCACGGGCGGGCATGCAGCCTATGGCAGGCGGAGGCGCCGACGAGGCCACGTCACAGACGGCGGTGCTGATGGAGGAGCCGCCTGCCTGGCAGAACAACCAGCCCTATTGAAGAGCCTCAGCGTAGGTGGCGAGCTAATCGCCTGCCGTCTTGTCCCTGATGGTCGTGGTGCACGTTAACCATCAGTCATTGTTGTACCGTCCTAAGCATGGTTAAAACCCAATATTTTATAGGTTAAATCGTAGTGTAGCGCAGCTTCGGTTAGCGTATCCCATGCATTTCATCAATTCTTATAGTCTAATAGTAATTCTTAATTATGCACGTTTGCCAAGAGGTTCGCGTAATTTTTTGCTTTCCATAAGTACTGAGATTTTTAATTTGCGTCTGAATGTGAAACCTTCCGTGCAGTGCCTGAGTCCGCCATTTGCATGCCTCGTAGCGAGAGCCTTTGTGACCACTTCTGCTTGGAGCGTGATCGCTCTATCCAAATGTAGCTCTTACCGAACAAAAATAGTTAACTCTCCGCTACTCCGTCAGCCGGTCAAGGACGGCTTTTCAAACTATACCCACCAATCATAATAAAAATCAGCCGTTGCGTGTACTTAGGCCACTAAACTTACTTATGCACCTACGTGTACTTAGGCCACTAAGTGTACTTGAGCCACTAAGTTTATGTGTGCACCTGCGTGTACTTAGGCCACTTAATGTACTTGAGCCACTAAGTTAACGTGTGCACCTACTTGTACTTAGGCCACTAAGTTTACGTGTGCACCTACGTGTACTTAGGCCACTTTAATGTACTTCAGCCACTAAGTTTACGTGTGCACCTACGTGTACTTAGGCCACTAAGTGTACGTACCTGAGCGAGTTTTTCTGTTGCGGCCCCCGATGTCTCAATATGCTGAATAATATAATCACTGTTCAAACTATCGACATTCCTCTGACGTGGACGCAGAAAGACCATGTCGAAGCCTGAAGGGATCAAGTTCACGTGAGCTCTACAACAGATTGTGCATAAGTGTGCCCCGTTTCTGTATGATTGGGATACCTGTTAGGATATATTTCCCTTAATTTTGATAATCTATCATTCATTATTCATCAGTACACATAATAATAAGTGTTTGAGTGACGAACAAAGTGAAATTATTAGTGACTGTAACGCTCGTGTGATTAACTTTGCGGAATAATTATCCCAAATTTCCTGACACATGTTAACAAACCTTCGCTGCTCCCACCGTATAGTCTTCTTGAAACAACCAATAGTCGCATATATTTGTTTTTCGTTCCACTAGAAATGATTCTTTACGTACTACTCATTCGAGGATCACAGCTTTCTGCGATCCCTGTAAGGCACAGGGTAAATGGAAAATTTTGCTCATCTATGATGCGTTTTACCTCCACGGCTTCGGCACGAAGCACTCGCCCTACAAACTTCAAGTCAACAGCCCTACTGCCGGCGCACCTGATCACGCCGTACCCAAGCCCTGGTTATTTGAATTGTCTGTTGTTACCTCAGCATAGTATGTGCCGTAGATTCATTGTTAATAGTGCATGATTATTTCGGATTTTCACTCGGCATTGTGATTGCTTGAAGTGAGAAGTGTTGAAGTGAAGTTCACTTTTTCGTAATTCTTTTGCGGTGGCATTACATTTGTTCAGATGATAGCTAAATATGCTAATGCTTATATCTGTACTTTCGTTCTAGGGTGTAATTGTTGAGAACAAATATTCGACCTATCTTTCTGATTCTCAAGACGATCGTCAAAATAAAATTCAATATCTTTCAATTAAATATTCAATATATCTTTGCACACCATGTTTGTATTCAATTATAACCGGAGTAACCATTGATCTGTTCAATCAGAGCATGTAACTTGATGATATGAACTTAACTGTTTTCAATCGAAGCTAAAATATTGTATGAATTTCATGCTTACTTTAGCCTCTAACCTCGCCTCTTCCTCTGAATTACATGTTTGAACACTGTATTTTTTCTGAATTGGTCCGGCGTTTGCGGTTCTATGAAGGAACTTGGTTTTTATTTCCTGGCACGGCAGCTGCTCCCGACATACTTGTTGAATGCTTAACCTTTCGTCTTCTGACGGTGGCTGTTGTTATCTGGCCTAGGATATCAAAATACGAATAATATTTACGACGATTAATTTACACGTTAACGACAAAACAAGTAATGCGTCTAACGCCTCCTCGCCTTCTAGTACCGTTTCCCCTTCCCTTTGCTGGCCATCCTATAGCACCTTTTGCTCTATTTTCCTAGTGCCAGAGAGATCTGCTTTAAAGGTTAAGTGAATGAATGACCCATTCCTGCCGTAGTATTTTTGAAGTCTCGTTAACTTAATTCTATTAGCGCGTCGAGTTCATCAGTAGCAGAGATGCTGGCATGCTTATGAATGCTAAAGTTTGCTGGCCTTCAATACAAATGGTCAGTACAATTAATGAATTATGCAGGGCATAATTGAGGTTTCATTGCTTATGCTCAGATAAACAGCATTAATAGGGACTCGTATACTTGATTTTGTTTTCCAAGAAGTGAGCGATCACAACCGTTGGGTCTCTAAACATTTAGTGCTCAACCACTCTTAATATGAAAAGAAGTGAATATGTAGTCGATATTTTAGTCCTAGGCAGGTTCTATGTAAGCTTTGAGCCCATATTAACATCAGTAGCCAACGGTGTATTTTATTGAAATTCATTTCGAGAGATACTCGACAGAGAAAGAATCACGATCTTGCTTGACAATTTTCTTGGCATTAATCCTCATCTTAGATTCATCCTCTGCATAGTTCTTTTTTTTTTATTTGAATCTGCCCGCATCGTGCTGCTTGCACCTGTGATCATCAGGAACAACCCGGAACTGGTAAAGAGTATCATTTAATCATGCCCTTACAATTAAATTTCTACGCGAGTTCACTCGCATCATCGCATGCAGTGTACTAAGATTATTTTTTGTTGCAGAGGGTCGCGCAACGACATGCTGGCGGCAGCGCAAGCGTCGGGTCCCGTGGGGGCGACGGGCATGAAGAGCAGCCTGGTGAACATGGAGGCGCCCCCCGCCACCTCTTGAACGTCTCGCTGCGGTCACCGCTACACACATTCCTTCTTAGACACCACCTTACTCCATTCACTGCTTCTCTTCAATAATATAATGTTCTTTTCTGTTAGCTCTGCATGATGCTGAGAATTTTATTCGTTTTTTTTTTCTTTAAAATTTAACATTAATTTCTGTCTCTGCTCCTATCGCAGCTACTCAGTTCTATAAATAGTAATTGTTGCGTTAGAATGTCCAACGAAACATTGGTCCGTCTTTTTTTTCTAAACTGAAATGACATTGTATTTTTTTCTCTCGTCTCTGAATACTAGATGCGCTATCTTGGATTTCACCCTCTGATTGTCTATCTTATTGCTAGCTTTTGCTTCTTTACGTTGCAAGTCTACCATTTTCCCCCGACTCTACTCACGCACCTCTTCTTGCGAAGTCTCCATGTATGTCTTCCTGGAATTATCACTGCGCTATAAGTCTCTCGTCTGCCCCTACCAAAAATTTCCATCCCATCCAGGAATTTATTCAGTATAGCTACGATCGTTAACTCATTGTAAATGTATCTATCTACACTTCAATTTCCCATCTGAAGCGCAGCAAATGCGATTTATTTTCTACAAAGATGGCAAGCGGCAGAGCTGAAACTAGCCGAGTTGGCTGGTACGTAATTGATCATTTGCGAGTCGGGATGTATTTTTGTCGCTCGCAATTTCTTAAGAAACAAACTATGTTAACTCTTCGTGTGGCCATGGCGTTTATCTCTTGCTGGTTGTGAAGCATTTCATGAACAGCTAGTGGTTCTCGCTCGTCGCCTTGATATTGATGTGATTTTCTTACTTCATAACAAATCCATTTGTTGCTACTGAGCGCGCTTTTAAATTATACAGAAACGGTCCACGACCCAAGACCTCGCCTGAGTCGTGCCACTTACATTTGGTCTGGCTTCGTATGAGAACTTCAAATCCATATCGAAGTAGTGTTGTTGATGGTGTCTTTACTGTCGCTGTTGTCAATTTCCTGCTACTGTTCATCACGCGTAGGGTTAGACGTCACTGTAGGCTCTCGTTCCTCGGAATAATGGGCATCGTATGTAGCTTCTTATGATAGATTCGATTTTCCCTTCCATGAACATCATTTTAGAAACTTTGTTTAAACCTCAATTTCCAACGCGGCTGCCTTTTTTGAGTTATTAAAATATATTTTTCGTTGGTTTTTATAAAGCTTCTGGTGGTGCAGTTGCAGCCGTACAGGTTTTCTTTGACTCATCGAGTTTTGGTCCATAGGTTCTTTGTATTCGGCAGTGCCCGACGGTAACTGTTGACATGTTATTGCTGTTGACAATTTTTGTGTGGTAAGTTAAGATCTGTGTAAAGTATGGAACTTTAAAATAACATCTAGAGCTTTGCTTATTACGACATAATTTTATTTTGACACCTAGCGCACGATTGCTGCTCGCGAGGATGAGTTTTGATGCGGACTCGTCAAGCTTTTCCATGCATTGTTGTCTATTAACATAAGCGCTTATTTTTTATGTTTTAGCTGACCTTATGCTACTCATATTCATTATTCATAACCGTATTAGTGCCCTCAAACTCAGCGCGAACGAGCTCGAGCGTTATTTTTCTTTTTCTGGTAATTCATGCTTCTATAATTGAATTGTTCATTGAGATCGTGCAAGAAATATTGTGGTTTTGGTCTAATGAATCAAAAATACTATCAAAGTTTAAATTATAGGACCTTCGTAAGTTCGTACCCGGCATTAGTCATTTGAAGCGTAGAATTGAGTAATCATGAAGCTCGTCTTCTTGACAGTAGACGCAAGCGGCTGCTGATCTAATTCGTTTTTTCTTAGGCCTTTACACCTTTAAAGTCGATTGATGTAATCAATATTTATTTTATTCTTAACATATTTTTTATTACTCCCGATCTAAGATATATATTTGGTTAGGCTCTAATTTAAGCATTATATTTTCAGGAGCCATAAACTGGCATTATGTAAATCTTGATTCATGTGACGCTACATTTACCTTTTTACTATTTTTTCGTTGATGGTCCAGAGTTGAGAAATTTCAACAATGTAGTACATCGTTATCGGCAATGGTTTATTTTCCTTGGGAGTGCAGCAGTCAGACCAGTTTATTTCACGGCCGAGAAATGCTGTATTCAAGCCCGCGAATGTACATACTCTTGACCATATTCGAGACGAGATGCTCACCTCCGTATTGCCTGACACTATCCTGGTATCCAACTGCTGCTTGTGCATTCGCTTCACATTTTTTTTAGATGCGTAGGTCATGCTCACTTTTTAAATTTAGGCCTATTTCTTAAAGCAACTTAATACAAGATACGGGAGATCAAGTTTACAATTGCATTGCTTATTTGGAAACTTTATTTTATCAAGTGTGTTCGGCTACGTGGGCAGCTTTATGCATTGTTTCATAGGTTTATTATATGGCACTTCACGACGTTAGAGCAATACGTGTGACGAGATTATTTTGCTCATGTTTATTCCGTATATTGGTGTCAGGAGGCAATCCTGGCCCACATAACTCTTACTTTAGTTTTGGCAACATTTTCGACTTTTCTGTTTGATGAAATACTTCAATATTGATATCGTTTCAATGAAAACTATTTTCGACTGAATCGTTGTTCGTTCAATATTCTTAGAATTCTAACATCGCTCGTCGTCTTCAGAGACTTGTATGGTAGCTCTATCATGTTGGTGGTTGAAGAATAAAGTAATCCATGTACATTTTAACTTATCCTAATTCACGACGTAATGTTCGCTCGCAACTGAAACCTTTTCAAAATTAAATAGAAGACGCGTGTTCTATTGTAGTGGGTCGGTTGAAAGGTAACTCGGGAAGATGGCGGACTTGGCGCCATGACAATCCGATCAGAGGTCAGCTATTGGGCGGTCACGCTGCAGTCCTCGGGTCTAGCCGGCTAAAACAATGTCAATATGCTAAGTATCACGTCACTCACGCAATACCACTTGGTAGCCTCAGCGGTAGAAGATTCACATCATTTTCGCCAGCGAAAACTCGAGCTTGCTTCCAACTCCAAGCAAAAGATAGTTATTAAAAATTCTCGACTGATTAACCATTGAAGAGGAGAATTGAAACCCGTCTCGACTTCTATAAATAATTTTCAAGTATGATTTCTGTTATAGACATCTACAATACAAATTTTCATAATGGGATTAATATCGTTATGAATAAGAAGCATAATTTCCAACTAAAATAAATCCATTCCAAAATAAGACAGAAACAACTATGAAGTGTTCGAATGTTAAGTAGAGCCCATAAAGATCTAGAGACAGGAAGAGAGGGAAATTTATAAAGGAGGAAGTGGCCGATTGTGAAGATAGCTTGCCTCCAGAACAGCCGGCGCAGTGCCTGGCGTAGAATGAATTCTTCACGAGTTCTACAGACCGACGCCTATGGCGAGCGCCCATAACAAATCTCAACAATGTACGTTCGCTCTACAGTAGCCACGCATGCATGCGAGATGTACTCTCAATTGTGTATGAAGGTCACTAGAGGCGTCCACGTTTGTTTGCCATGCATCAATGAAGATGAAAGTCAACATAGAAGTCAAGCTCGCTCAACGCGGTTGATGAAGCGATAGCTGGATAACTAAGAAGGCAATCAGCCACAACTGCAACAGCTGTACAAATTTATGGTGCAAGACATCATCTGGACAGCGCAACCGAGAGCAGCCTCATTTTATAACAATTGTTTCACAAAACGACGGCAAATTAACCATATAAGTCAGCACGTCATCGACACGCGGTACAATTCAAGAGTGATGAACGCTTTGAGATTGACATGGGAGGATACAATTAATGTAAAGACGAAGAAGTCTCAGCAAATCAATATAACTCACAAGGACTACTACTACTAATAATAAGAGAACGCTCCAGCGAGAACAAAATTTTAATGAACACAGCTGCAACAATGTCGCAGCCAGAGTCACGCAGAGCGACGACACTAAAGCTGTGCCATCACGAGGCAACCCGAGAAGAGACCTCAGGAGAGCACCGCGTCGTTCAGGAATGTAAGACTATCAGACTGCAACAAGGATGGGTCACATTGTGAACGAAGAGCATCCTAGCATCCATACCACATGTCAGGAGCAATAGCAGCAAGAACTATTACGATAGAAGCTAGCAGCATCTGCCCACCATCGAAAACTCTCATGTATACAATCAAGTAAATTCCATTGCAGCAAACAAATAATTACAATTCTTAGGACTACAACAAGGATTTTAATAATAATAATAGCCTACTTCAGGTTCACAGTTGGCAGATATACTAACAGCACGCCATGTAGCCACAGAGCAATGACCGTCTCGCTACAATATGAAACACTCGGCAGGTGAACACAGGGCGACCTGTTAGGAGGCGCGCACTCGACGGCTCTACAAGATTGGGTGCGCCATCTACACCAAACTACATCAAAACCTTTGCTTTATACAGACGCAGTAACGCTACAACTCCTTTCAGTAAATGCAGCCAAGAATATAACTCCTAATACGTCAAAACCATAGCTCCTCCCAGTAAATAGTGAAGGACGACTAAAACTCTAAAAAGGAGTGGATCAAGTCCCAGGCTACAACTCGAATTAATCGGTTTGAGGATACAAGTTTTATCGACGCAGCATGGCTACTACTTTCTGGGCAGGTGCTCGGAAATACACTTTTAATGAATGCAACGCTGGGATATGACGACTGAATTCCGCATCAACACCTTGGTGCTTCCTGAAGGGAGCATTGATCGCTTATGAGAACCCGTCAACACAGTTTGAGAAGAAGGAGGCATGCTAAGAGAACGGCATGCCTTATAGTAACAATATGACGAACAAGATAATTCAGTCCCGAGTGATGTGGTGAGAGTGCCGTGAAAGAGTAGATTGGATAAATTAAGAGACCTAATAGCGCGACCGTCGGTGAGAGAGAGAAGAATGAAACAAAACTCGTAATAGCATCAATACTACAAATGACAGAAACTAAATGATGTACTTTATACATGGTGCCAGTCACATTTGAATTATGATCCATTGATTGAAGAGACTACAACTTTGACCATGATTTCAACAGCAACTTTAAAACAATTACATTCTTAAATATTTTCTGATATTCCATATTGAATAGGTGTCATCAGTATACTCCTTGTTACGGTCGTTAACACCAGGATTCAATTTCTGGTCAATAAGAAGATCGCGTGTCAATAGCAACGAAAACAATCGAGCGCATCTACGTATTTCCCCTTGCATAAATGTTGCCGAGATACAAGGCTACAGTTAGGAAATGCTCAGTGATTGCTTTAAAACAGCGATAACAGCAAATGAAAACAACGACGGACAACCTTGCGTCACTCCACACTCCTGCTATCATTTGTAATGACGAATAAATAATTTAATGCAAAAAAAGAAGGGAAGGAAGTTGCACTGAGCGTGAGGTGAAGTGAGTTTGCAATGAGCTGAAATAACTACGTTCATTCAAAATAAATACGAAATTAAACAATACCATGCAATACACAAGCCGGCACTACAGCCGAGAACGTCTCGGAAACGAGTAACGTTCCTCCCACCGCTGGGGTAAATATAAAGGAAAGTTATCCCGAAATGAAAAAAATAATAATTTACATGGCCATACTGCAAAGCGTGGGCATGAAAAACATGCAAAGATGGCGCAGCGTATTCAGGACTCGTGTAGGTCGCGGCAAAGGAAGGAAGCTGTCATTTCACATGCAACATGAATCCATCTAAACAGGAATGATGAAATAGCTTTTGGACGGTGAAATCCCAGCCAATACTCTGTAGATATACACGGTGGATAACTGAACCAATAATAATCATTCATAATAAAAATTCAGGAAAATATTAAGTTTGAACAAGCTTCAACACAAATCTAACACGAACTCAGTAACAATTGCACCAACTTCAGCCGGCTTGGTAACGCTAAGTCAAAGGGAGCTAATGTAATAGTTGATGAAGACAAAGGTTACACGCCGTATCCCTGGTACGACGGCATGGCGCCGGGGTGAGGGGCGTAACCGACGTTGTTGGTATAAGCAACGTTGGCGTAGCCTGGGGGCAGCCCGCCGGGGCCCGCCGTGATCATGAGCTGCGGCTCATCTGCAACAACAATTGCAATCATTAACTAGTCATTACAATAATTGTAATAATAAACTCGAGGCTACAACCATTGCAACCATTAACCGGGCATTGCAGTAATTGTAATAATGCACTCGAGGCTACGAAATTCTAATAATGTACTAGTCGGAGCAACCAGTGTAATGATAAGCTCATCGCTACAACTATTCTAATAATAAACTAGTCGTAGCAACCAGTGTAATGATTATCTCATCGCTACAGCCATTGTAATGATACACTTGTAAAATGACTTCATAGCAATCGAGAACTAATTTTTAATCCTTTGAACTTGAGGATGCGGCCTCAACTATCGACAATTTCGAAACTAACTTAAACCAAGATCACTCACTGATCATGTTCATCATGGGCTTGTTCTCTGTCGTATCGCTCTCCTCTTTCCTCTTGTTCTCGGCATCCTCGAGCTTATTGACCTTGCCAACATACTCTCGCATGACGTTGATGAGGTAAGGCATGGCAAAGTCCATGATGTTATGGCGCCATGCAAGCTCCAGGATGACGTCAGGGTTGAGCTGGTCGTAGCAATGGAAGAGACATGCAGCGAAGCAGTCATGATTGCCCTCCTCTAGGAACCACGCGAGCAATTCCTCGGCAATATCAGATGTCTTTGACTCGGCAGCATACTCCATAGCGTCTCTGTATAGCTTGTCTTTTTTACACAGCTGCACAGACTGCTTCCATCGGTTATTGCTCTTGTATAGATATGCAGCAATACGTCTGAATTCGATGAGCTCATGCTTCTCTAAGCTCTGGGCCAGGGCGATAGTATCGAAATGATCGAAGGCATCAATGGAAGTGCGTAGACCGGTGTAATCTTCCTCTTGGATGAGCAGAGAGTTCAGAGCCTCGTTGATGGCTTTGTTGTTGAGATTTTGAACAGAACGTAGGTAACCTTTTACCAATTTCAGGTGGTCCATCTGAAAATAAGTTGTATAAATTGTTGAATGTGTTAATCAACCTTGTTAAATTATATTGACCTCATGCCCTTAGTATGTTAAGAGTTAAGTAGTATCACATATACAACCAGCTTAGAACAACATCATTGTCACAATAAAAAAACTAATAATCCCTAAATATTAAATCGGTAATATCTCACTGGTATCAGTTTGAGTATCATTGAAAAAAATGATCTAGAGTGTCTGCATAGTCAAAATAAGGAATAGAAATGCAAGATAAAAATGTACGCATCCGATTTAAAAATAGGATAACATAAATCGAATGTTTCCGGAATAATGCTAGCTAAATGAATGTTATGTCATCATTGTTACTGAAGCCATTAAGCATTAGTAGTAGTAGTAGTAGTAAAAGATTTACTAGCGCTTCAGATAGCGAATCTATTTCGCGCCGGAGGTGAGGTCTTCAGTTACGTCAAAGATGTTTGGTCTCTTCCGTCTCCAAGGCTTATAGCCTGATCCATTTTAGGCGCAGGGGCTGGGCGGTAGATTCCCTGCTCATGGAGCGAGGGTCCGCTCCGACTTCATGTATCAACTCCAGCGTAAGTTTAGTGAGGCTCGTGTCCATTTGAGAGCCAGGCCGTTTCCGAAAAGGGCGTTTTGCCATCTCTGTTAGTCTGGACTCTCCACCCGAGCCACCCGGCCATGATTGCATCTGAGGCCGTACAGCCTCGGGTCTCATCGAGACACGCAAGCCCCCCCCCACGACAAGGACGAGATGGCACGGGGGGCATTAAGCATCAAGATTATCATGCATCACCTTAGCAAAGAAGTTGACAGCGCGCGTGTGGTCCATTCTAGGGGACAGCACCACCAACAGATCGTTCAGCAGCATGGGTTTGTAGTCCAGGTAGAATTGAATGGCCTTGTAGTAAAGTTCAATGTTGGCAACCTGCAAAACGTACGAAGTTCGTGAGACACACCATCAATTGATAAGCATGAGAAAATCGTTAGTAAATTACACCGAATGGCCCCCAACTTAGCATCAGGTTTGTTATTTATAAGCACACATATAATTTATCATATTAAAATCAGCAAAAATAAAAATATTCATAAAAAGTACAGAATTTCTCAAATACGTTTTAAAAATAAATAAGTTCAGTAAATGAAGATGCTACCAATACATCTAGATGCATTTAAGCACAATTAAACTCGTTACAGCGAATTGATTATATATTTTTCACGCATGATTGAACTCGCTAACGTGAATTGAGAATGACAACAAGGACTGACTTTTGTGACGACGTCCTTGAAGTGTGACTCCCTCCAGGCCTCGGTGGGGTGGTTCATCATGGTGAGCACGGCGTTGTCGTATTCCTCGTACTTGTCATACAGGAACACCAGCTCCGCCCACAAGTGTGCTTGTTCAGCGGCGCGCAGCACCTGGTCATCAATGCCACATAAGTGATGCTAAATAGCACATACGATGAGACCGTTATTTTCATCAAAGAAACGTTAGTATTTTATAATATTCAAAAACATATCAAAAGAACAACAATAGTGAGATAAGAATTTAGAAACGTCAAATGAAGTCAAAAAATAAATACTCCTAAAAAATACGAAAGCTACTTTAAAATCTTGTAAAAATCCACTGAAACAGGGTTTCATAAAACAGTAATTTCTAAACGTAACTTTCAAACACAATAGAAAAAAATTTTCGTCGTGGAGGCCACTTGTCTACATAGAAAAAGCGCAACAGTTGGAGTAACTAAATCAATTTGACTATTTGCAGCAGAAACTCACTCACCTTAGGAATATTGACGCGAGACCAGAAAAGTTCGAGATGCTCTCTCATTTTCTCGGTCTTGTACTTGGAGTAGAGGATGGCCAACTCAGTGAACATGCCCATGTGGGCGCGCTCGAGCCCGAGTGCCGCTTCCAGCAGGTTGATCAGCTCAGCGAAGTGACCACGGTCCTGAAACAAGGATAACTCAACCATGGTGGTGCAAATCAAATTATTCAATTACGTATACAATTAGGCTGCTTAAATTTCAACTTCACTAATAATTTAGAAGCAAATAAAAAGCCAAGTTGATCAACTATATCTTCATTCAAAATTCATTATATTACATAGAATATAAATACTATCACTTCAATACTGAGTGTACTTTTTTCACTGCTCATTTTAATCGTTTTCAATGAACTTGATTGAACCTAGTGAAAATATTCTAGTGAAAATATCTAACGTGTTTTATCCCCTCGCCTACAAACTTCGTTCGCCAACTTCTTCTGACGTTGGTTTGAAATTTTGGTAGCAATTCAATAGTAAAAGGAAAAGATGAAATTCGATGTACAATTAATGGATCAAACAAAAGACCATGTTATCATTCAGGAACATGCTTATAAGTAACATGACAAAGCTAGTTATTGACCTGATAATAGTTGATGAGGTCTTCGAGCTCGTCAGCATGCACGACGATATGCAGACCGCAGTTCTGAGCGAGACGGAACTGCTCGTTGTCGACGCAGGCGAAGCAGACTTCCTTCCACGTGCGTGTGCTGTTGGCCTTCCTGGCGCTCTCGACGGCGCCCTGGAACTCCTTGAGATGCACCAGCGTGATGGCCAGACGGGCGAAGTTGCTCACGTTGTTGTACAGGAGCTTGGCAGGCTCGTACATGCCTTCATCGAAGCACCGGTCACCGATCTAGCAGCAATAAAGGAATATCTTGCAATAGAGACCACTAAAATCAGCATAGAGAGTTACCAAATTAAGCATTGACACTTCGATACAATAATGCACTTGGCTAACGAGTACTAAATTGAATTTAGGTAAAATCAATGCGTTCCTGATGAGTATTGTGATGTCAACACAGACTTATTCAATGATATTTTAATCGAATCACATTTATCAACAAAACGTTGCCTGCATGGGCAACTGCCTGCAATATTACACAGGTAGTGTAGAATTTCACTCACTTTCTGAATATCGGCGTGGTTTGGAGCAGCAATGAACTCCTCCAGGTCAGCTAATCTGTTTGTTTTGGCGTAGGCATAAACCAGCTCGCTCTCAACGTAGGACTCACGTGCCTTTTTGCGAGCCATCACCAGGTACCGCACAAGATCTTCCCATTGACCTGGTACATTAAACAGATATAAGCGTGTTAAAAAGCTATGGCATTCAAGAAACGCTCTACTCCACCATTATAAAAAAAAAACATATGATGCACAACTCGATCACCTTACTCATAAGCGGATAATTAATGATAACTCTTTATACAAAAACAATAAGAGGGGGGACTAACCGGTTTGTGAGGCGGTCTGCACCACGTCCATATAAGCAGTAGGATCATCAGCTTTGATGTAAGAGTCGATGGCCTCCTTGACGAGTGACTGCTGCAGCTGAGCCTTGGCGAGCTGACTCCACACGGCGCTCTCGTTGCAGCGCTCAGCAAACTCGTAGGCGCGATCCAGGTTTGTGATGTGCTCGATCAAGACCTGCAATGACCAGAAGTTTTCCTCATTTCTTCTGTATAAACGAATTTACTTCAGAACACCTGAAGTGGCACACGTTTCTGTCGTCTAAAAACTCGTAAGTTCAATACAGGGGCTGTATTTAACCATGCATCTCAAATAAAGGGACCAACCCCAGCATAACCTATCCCAGAGCAGTAGACCATTGCCAGGCAAGTTAGCATATATAATCATTTAAAATTTCGAAAAAAAGTCCACCACAGCCCCGGGTTTGCGTTTGACTTTGAGGCTACATTATCATGCCTTTGCCAATCATCAATTATCTGACCAACCCTCTGCATAAATAAAGAAATATTTTAAAGTTTTTATTGTGACAACGGAACTGTTCTTAAGTATTTTTTTTAAAGACGGAAGAGGCAATATCACCTTAATTAATTTATGTGACCTTATGAAATTGAATTCAATTGATATTAGCAAGTACTCTCAACATTTTTGAATATTTGAATTTGAATTACAATACATTTCTTCTGAGTATTGAACGTATTTAATGCATTCTTCAACTGCGTATTACTCCTCAAATGTCTAAAATTTTGGAAAGTACATACTAGTAAATCTATCTTATAATTTTTCATATCTTCATGTACCTGTTTCAGAAATTTAAATTGATGTATATTCTTACGCTTGTCCGCAAAAGGGGTAGAGAAACATCGTACCTGAATTGCAGAAGTGTTGACATCAAACTTCTTGAAGATGGCAAAGGCCTCCTCGTAGAGCTGGCTGCTGATGGCAATGTTGGCGATATCGGGGGCATCGTAATTGTCCAGTCGAGTTATGTAGTCCATGACGCGAGTGTGGTCAGCCTTGATCGCTGTGAGGATCAGCAGGTTCTGCAGGTTCCTGCCCGTAAAAATGCGTGATACCGTCACATTTCATACAACACGTCAACATTCAACTTTTCAGAAATTTACACTTCAGTTATGTAACTTAATAGCAACACCGTATTAGGCGCTTTTATTCGGAATATTCAAGAATGTATGCGAATTTTTTTAATTATTATTCAATATTATTCAGAATAATCAACCCCCAAATGGCCGGTCGAAACTTAGCTCGCCGCTTACCTGTGGTCACTAAAAGCAGAGTTGTCCAGTACGATTTTCTCGAGCAGCTCGATGAGTTCGTTGGGCAGGTCAGCGGTCATGAAAGCCTTCACAGTAACAGAGATGTCCTCTGGGTCTTGAGTCTCTGACAAGGCCGTCTGAACAACCTGTAAATCCCGAATAACAGCATTCGTCAAAATGCATCACGTTCAGGGAGTTCAATTTCCATCGTGATGACAGAAATAAATATCGATTATGTCATAACTTCATTAACGTTGGTCATCAATCAATAAATAGCTTATGGTCGAGATGGAACGTTTGGATACACAAAGTTAATGGCTGTGTTGCAAGAAGCCATATAACAGCTGAAAATATCAGCATCAGTTCTGTGGAAACAAAGCTGATCAGTCTTGGTAAAAAATTCCCAGGTAAAAATAGAGCCTAGTGAAGGCGGCAGAAGCGCACCTGGTCGATGAGCTGACGGCGGTACTGGTTGGTCTCCTGGAGCACCTCGGCCCAGAGTTCAGGGTCCCGGCGCTGGACGAGGTAGCGAGCCTCGTTCTTGAAGAGCGAGTTGTCGTTGCACACGTTGATGAGCTCACGGTCGCAGTGGCCGCGCTCGTACGCGATGCACGCTAGGTGCGGGTCGCGCTTCTCGCAGTACTTGCCTGCACACACACAGCATCAGCTCACAGTTTTCCGATCAACATTACACAATACATATTTAATTGTTTTCACGAGACAAGTTTAGTTGTAATAATATATGGATAAGATAAAACTGAGCATGATGGCACGAACCAACAACTTTGCTGTCGTAGTGCTGGTTTTCCTTGAGGAAGCGTTCAGGATTGTTGTTGGCGTCGATGTAGATCTTGGCTATGGCGTTGTGGGTTGCGTTCTCCGTGACGCCTTCGTGCACGCGCGACTCCAGCCACGACTGAAGCAGCTTCAGTCTGTTGCGCTTCTCCACCTAGACGAAACGGTGCAGCGTTAATCGATAGCGTAAATAAATGATCTGTGTACAAAAATTTGTATGGCAGGCCACACACAAAATACAAGAACGTATCTGCTCATCAGAGATCAACTGCGTTAACTAATGCTTAGAATTAGAAGCAGGGCCACCATTTCGAGTAAAACCCTCACCAAACAACAACGAGGCGTCACACCATATCCAAACATTTGCTAAGGTGTGGTGATCAAATGCATCACCCCACGTGCACACAATTTCTCACTAGGCATCACGCCACAATCAAACCATACGTTTAAATGCATCACGCCATGTTCAAACCATACGTTCGAATGGACCACGGAACCTTCAGATCACACGTTCGAATGTACCACACCACATTCAGACCCCACTTTGAACGATCACGTTCATCCAGACAATTGCTTACAAGGCAACAATGTAAATAAATTGACAACTTGCTAAACTTTCTGAACACCCAACTTTCTAAACATTTAGACACAATGTAAATCACTCTACACATCACAATTGGAATCACTTCACCCGTCACCACGCGAAGCACTACACACTTTACCTCCTCGACGAGCTCGTCGGTGGAGAACTGGCCGCGCACCACCAGGATGAGCTGCTTGATGACGTCCTCGGCGCAGTCCACGTCCAGCAGACCTCCGATCACCACCGGCAGGCGCGATGGGTTCACCTGCACAAGTGTTCAAACCTCATAGAACAGAGTTTGCCTTGCACCAACTCGATCAAAATTGTTTAAATATTGTGCTAAGTGCTTGGCGAAGTTGTGCGAAGTTGTGCGAAGTTGTGCTTGGTATCTCAAACAAATACTTTACTGTATGCCAGATAAACTTAGGATCAAAGATCACGTTTGCAGGAGTTTATAAAACATTAATAGAGAACATACAAATTCAACGATAGCAACTTAAGAGGCATTATGAATAGAGTGAGATATTTATTTAGCACACTCGTAGAGTCGTAGCACAGTTCATTTTTTATACATCACAGCAACAACAAGCTGATTCCCCTACTCTAGCATTCCTTAACAAGTGAAAATTGCGGTGCACTATACGTGACGGACGTGAGAGCCTGTATATACGGTGATCGTTAGTCGATACCGTAATAAATACGTTTGAATAAAACCTGAATTTTAGTGACACCTCAACAAGACGAATTAGAGTTTAAAATTAATAACTCCAAATGGAGACACTGAATTATTTGGACTAGTGGAAAGTAAAATGAAGAGGATTTTGATAAGACGTTTTCAGGTTCTTTAAGATAGGGAGATTGAAGGATCATCGAATGAAAGCATATATTAGCATCGCTCAATGGTTCAATAGGAAAATTAGTTTGCTCACATGTAAGCCTCTGAGATACAAAACCTGACAATTGGACTCCTTATGAGACGACCAAAGGAAGTATTCAATAAAATAAAAACTATTGAAGAATTTTCATAGATTTGAGTTTTCAACTGCCTTGTATAGCATAGAAGACATGTATTTTTATCATGAGTTAATAACGAGAAGAGAAATGTCTCATCTTTAACGCAAGTCTGAATGTACCTACTGCTCAATCTTTGCACAATACTCTCAAGTCGAGTGAGGGCAGGGCACCTTTTGCACGTAGATCTCGATGTACTTCTGAAGGTTGTTGCGGTAGAGGTATAGCACAAGATCGTGCACGAAGTCGAAACGATCGCAGACGATGATCAGGGGCAGCTGGTCTGTCAGCTTGGCCTCCTTCAGGAAGTTCTTCACGCGCTCGGGGTTGTAGCAGTTGCTCTCGCGGCAGATTCTCTCCACCTGACAAAGACCAGCGAATAGTAAAAATATTTCTAAATGATGAAGCAAGCATGTAAAAACAAAATGGTCATATTCATTCTTAAATAATATCACCATCAAATATATGGCACTTATTCAAGATACAGTATTTTGAATTCTACGAGGGACTGCAAACTTATTATCCGCACACGTTCAACGATCCCCAAGCCATAAAAAACCCATCAGAATAATTCAATAATAATGACACGTTTCTTAACTAGGAACTTTTCATGATGCACCGATAAATTATAATAAATTATACATAGTGTTTCCGTTCAAATGATCTGTAACATAAACCAATACTCTAACACAAACAAAAACGACCGTTTTGGAGGTAATACTGATCTTACGTGCGAGATATTACGGAATAAATAAGCCTGGTTTTAAACCATAGAAGTGAGGTCACTTCATTTAAGAGAAATTGTGAACTTTCATTGATAATTAAGACACACCTCTTTAATTTGCCCTGTCTTGCATGCTGCCTGGATGTACTTGAAATGCACTTCTGGCTCCTGAGAGAAGTTGACAATAGACCCCAAGAAATAGAAGAGCCCTTCAAATGACTTGAAAGACTCGAAAACGTCGATGAGAGCGTTGGTACTGAGCTGCTCGTGATATTTAGTGGCTATTTGCACGACGATTTGAAGGTTTTGGCGCAAGTTGGCTGTTAGCATCGCTTTGAGGCACTCTAGAGAATCTTCGACCGACAGAGAGCCAAAGAAATTCACAAGCCACTCAGAGTTGAGGAGATGGGTGTGGACCACGGCCCTCTTGATGTCGTACATGTCCGTATAGTGCTCCAGAGCGCGCTGCAGCAGACCAGCTTTTTCACACAACTGAGCGATGTGCGCACGGTCGTAGTGAGTGAACATTTGATTGCCAAGGATGGCGTCAGCCACTTGCGGGGCCGAGACCAGGTTCATCTCCAGCAGGCGAGTTTGCAGAGGCCCTTCAGTGGGACGGTTATTCTTGAGAGCATCGAGCAAGAAAGCAGTGCACTGCTGAATGAGGTTCGATTCCAGGAAAATATCAACGATTTGGCTGACGTCCGCCATAGGCTCGTCATCCTGAACGAGCATCTGAGCAAAAGCGAGGCCCTGGTCAGGGTTGACGCGCATCACGTTGCGCAGCAGGAAGATGTAGTCTGGCGTGTAGCCAACCTTCTTAGCATAAAGCACTATCTTCTGGAACTGGCTGGTCTCAGCAAAACATTGAATGACTTTGTTAGGTACATTAGCTCGCAGATACACGGATAATGCAAGAGTGGGATCAGTTTGCTTGACGAGATCTCCAAGCTCCTCTGAGCATTCTAACTTGTCGTCCTTAAGCCACTTTTCCAGCAGATTTTTCCGGCCCTGACTAAGAACAGGTCTACATAGCTCAAGAGATTCAAATTTGTTGAGATGTGACTGGTCTAACAAGATACCAAAATACTGAAGAAGAGGGGAGGTCTGGCCAGGCTGAGCCGAGACTTGCTGGAACTTTTGAATTGTTTGAGGCGTCCTCAGGATCCCTTTAGGGGCGTTCGCGGCCACCTTTGCCGCCTCACTGTACTGGCCGCCCTGCAACGTCAATGTTATCAGCAACTTTGTTGTACTTGTTGCTCGTAAGGCTTAATTTGTACTTTAGCCCAGCAAGTTATGTTTTGCTGGAATTCAGCATAGTTATTGTCTTATTGAAACACATGGCAAGTGAATACGGTAGCTCAACATACAGTTCAAACAATCAGTACAAGAAGCTGTGCTAGTAGCCAGTAGCCTACCTGGAAAAGCGTGTTGAACTTGCGCACAAAAAGCTCCTCAGCACCAGCAAGGTTGTTGCGTGTCGCCATGCGCAGCGCCAGGTCAGCGTTTTGCAGCACATTGCTGATATATGGGATGATGTTCTCCTCGTCGACGCTCACACTCAGCACCTATAAAGTTCATACACCTCAGAGATGTGCTCTGCAAATTTTCTAGGATCAACTAAACCTTGCACCTTTGGTGTTCCAATAATAGGTTTCCCCGCAAGACTATTATTAGCAGTTTGTTCTGAAGAGGGTGGCGCTACTCCTTAGCAATGAGTAACAGGACAAATTCTAAAAGTGCTTTACGATAAAGAGAGAACCCTATGCAATTCTGTAAACCATGCAATATTATAGTAGCATTAATAGAGATTTGTTACCAACGTACATGGCATGAATGAACTGAATAATTAACAGGTGATACACAGAGGCATGGAGAATTTCAGCAGGTAGCTGTTTAGCTGTCCTTTCCCTCGTGAATAGGGAACAGGTCGCTGTTTACCTGTCCTCTCCCCCGTGAAGTGAAGGCAACAGGTAGCTGTTTAGCTGACCTGTCCCCGGTAAGTAGACACAACAGATAGCGGTTTATCTATCCGGTCTTCAGTTAAAGGCCACAGGTAGCTGTTTAGCTAACCTGTGCCCGGCAAGTAGACACAACAGATAGCGGTTTACCTGGCCTTTCTCCCGTTACGTAGAGGCAACAGACATCTATTTACCTGTCCTGTCTTCCGTTAAGCACAGGCCACAGCAGTCTGTTTACCTGTCCCTTCCTGTTGACGCCGATGATGCCGCTGGTGGCCTCATGCGGCGCCGTCACGAAGATGGTATCGCCGCTGATGCGGTTCATGAAGATGCACGTGCCGTTCTCAATATCGTAGAGATGCACATAGCCGTACTTCGTGATCAAGTAGATCACGCCGTGCTTCTCGCTCACCTGCCGAGCAGGAATCACCCATAATTAGATCATAACTATGACTGCAGGAGGGAAAAGGAATAACTATGAAGCAAAACAGGATGAGGGAAACGGGAAGAAATATTTTGCTAAAAAAAATAAAAAACACCTAAAGTTTAATCTGCTGGAAGAAAGACTACAAATCCTGACTGGAATTATTGCTCTCAAATAACCTGTTAATCAAAGGCTCAATTTCCCCAGCCTGATCAATATCATTATAGTTGCCGCACAACAACAGTGTACATGAGGTCTGCAGGATTTTAGAATTCTGGATTAAATGAAAATGATAAAAATATTTGATAATGATTCCCACCTGCATGGCAACAGGGAAGTCATTCTGAGCTTCGGCAGGGAAAAAGACGTCCACATTTTTCTTGGTGAAGGGCTGGTTGCCGGTGGCTGGTTGGCCCACCTCAATGACGTGCAGCTTGCCGCCTTGAGCGTTACGCACAGCAAAGCAGAACAGAGTTGACTCTTCTGGGTTGCCTTCCATCTGGAAAGCAGGTGTTGATGTAAAGTGTTAAGGACTTCCAGGAACCATGAATAGCTTCTTATACATCCTTATGTAGCACTACTTTCTGAGCCACCGTTGCCAAGGCTAGATAATTCCTATAATACGAGACTCCTATTATCCCGCTCCAGCCCACCCAGTTGTCCCATCATCCCCATCATCGCAGTTTTGCCATACACTGCTCCCCTAATAATTAGTTCAAAAGTCCAGGTAATACCCCGATACTACAAATATCGTGTGGATACATGTCCAAAGATCCCATATATATTGGCCGCGCCAGGGTTCTAACATCACAAAATTTGACAGATATTTATAAGACGATTGTTATACATTATCTAGTTTTCAAGTTGCTATAATTTACAGCAGATTATGGTAGTCATTTACAAATTAGACCTCAAGATTGCAGAAACTCAAAGTCAGTTTATGAAAGGATTGGTGAAATTTGGCCCACATGGCAGTGAAATGTTCAGCAGAAATCAACAAATATCCTGCTCAAGTGATTGCATACACATTTCACTTTTCAGGATGCGCGGAGAAGATGTCACAAACTAAGACTTGATTGCCAAGTTTGTTTTTGTTTGCTCAAAAAAACAAGAAAGGTTGTAAGCAGCCACCTTGAACTGGGTGAAAGCAGCTGCATGTCCATCAATGGGCTGTGAAGCCTTCCTCTCGACGCTGTAGAGCTGCATGAAGCCCACAACTCGGTTCTGCTGCGCTGATATGCCGATGAGCAGAAGCCAATTCTGCTTCAAGTCCGTGCGGTAGTTGATGATCTGACTGCCGTTTAGGCTGCTGTGCCGGTCAAACATCTTCGTGGGCTGAGCGTCGCCTGTGACACAAAATACCAGGTCTATTAACTTAAACACCTCTAGCTAGTATCAAGCTAAATATATACCTACCGTCAGCTGTAGTATTTCAACTATAGTTTCAGTTGTATAGTCACTTAGACCCAAGCCACGCTGCAATGTGGCTTAATACAGCTACTTCAAAACACATACAACGGAATAAAGATAATGTTTGGACGTGTTAAGCACTCCACAAGACACAAATGGATGATTCATTCAAACAGCAACAGTACCGTCCATGCTCCAGTGGAATACGGCATTTTCGGTTACAAGCGCAAGCTTGTTGGCTGAGATCCACTTCCAAAAGGTGATTTCCTGGTCCATGGTGTGAGCTGCAATACAAGAACAGGCACTTGAGGGCAACTGCCAAGCATTTATTGAGAGAACCATATTAGTCAGCTCATTAAAATATTGTAGAGGAACAATTACAAGTAAAAAAAAAGGAACAAAAAAAGTTTTATACATTTTATGACAGTTTTATTATTTTTCAAGGAGAAATGCAGTTCTTAGTGTTTTCTATTATAAGAATTGCATGATCACAAAAATGTAAGTTATTTCACTAATATACCTACAGCATATATGATAAATTTTGCAACGGAATTATGAGAGCAGATTTATTAGATTACTATAAAAAATATTAAAATGAGCCTGGCACCAAAATAATGAACAATAATAAGAAAGCCAGTCACAGGCTACAAAGCCATGATTGTAGGTACAGGTTTCTGGAAGAGATGTTAATGTGGAAAGCAAATGAATCGGTAGCCCACCTTTAATCTTAGTCTTCATCTCAATGTTGAAGATCTGCAATGTCTTTTGAGCTGTAAAGAAAATGTAAGCGACATTAAGCATTATTCAATACACTAAAACACCGTTAAAAAATTGAAGAGGGAAATTTACCAACACATTCATCGAGTGAAGCCTGTTTCTGCAGGAACATCATCTAATTTTCTCCAGTCAAGTGAGTGTGTGGGTCGCATCCAAGAAAAAGTTTGATGGGTAGATTTCCTTACAAGTTTGCTGCAATGACTAAGGTAAATCAGGCCGAGAATAACGTGCAGTCTTCCAGAAACTATATAATTAATTAATTCTTATTTCATAATTGGACGAGGCATAAAAAATCAAATATAGGTCATTGTACTGGGCATTAAAGCAATAAAAATATTATTGGCAAGAGAATCATCATTTATTGATTTTTTATGACTGCCACTGCAACCAACACCAAATAACATTTTCCAAACAATTTGGTCCTAATTCCATAACAGATGCACAAGCAAAAATGTAAACTGAGTATCTTAAAGAAGCTGCTAAATATTCTCTACTGGCACCGAGTGATACCTCATTGAACCAATATATTGTTACAGTGTTAGATGCCCCAACATTCATTTGAATTGTTTACATTTGAGAGAAATAATTTTGAAGATTGGGTTCATCATTGTATCAATACATCATCACAGTGTTAAGATGCCAAACATTAAATTGTTTACCTTTGAGAGCAATAACTTTGGAGGCAGGATTCATGATGGCAGAGTCGCCTGAGATGGGTCTCCTGATGGGGTTGGTAGGGTCTGCCATGTCAATGATGACCACCTGGGCTGCCTCGGTGCTCTTCTCACGGATGCAGATGAACTTGTCGCTCTCCATGGTGAGCGTGTTGAAGGAGATGTTTGATGGCTGAATCCCCACATTGGTGAGCTATAATATAAAAACAATTGTCAATTCAAGATCTTCCATGTAGATGTCAACATTAACATGTATGAAAATGTTACTAAGTTGTAAGGCAAACTTTTTCAAGGAAGTCTGGCAAGGCTAGGAGAAAATTTTAGCAACAATGGCCACAGATGGACAGAGCTAAGTAATCAAAAAAGTGAATCTGCCCACAGCTTCAATCAAGTTCAACTTGTAGCAAAAATGCCAATGTCAATGTAAATACTCTATGCAAGCCAATTCTGGACCATAGGAGGCAGCAGTTGCCACCTCATTACTCACTGCAGATAAATTCAGTTATAAATTAAGCGATATAACCCTTAGCATATGGATACATTTGTCAATGCTATTTGTACATAAAGGCCTGGGACAAAAATATCCAGTCATTACACAAAGAGTTTAAAGCAACCACCCAAACAGCTCCTTGCGCTTGCAGTGCAAGCAGTGATGTTGACAATGCGTGATGTGAGAGAGCACATTAGCCAGGTCTCATACAATGGCAATAGTCGTTGTAATTTCAACGACTTTCGCTGAAGTTATCGACCAATTTTTTTACTTTACAACGATTTTCGAGCTAAAATAATAGGTCATTTATCTTTTTCAACGACTGCCAACTAATGGGACTCTTTCACAATAAACTTCTGACGACTGCCAACAAGCGACTTAGCAAGACCCGACAAGATACGACTGTGGTACTGACTAAAACCCGGACCCCAACAGCGCATTACGAGCGGCGGATGTAAAATGTTCAGCCCCAGAGGACAACGCAACCATCATATGTATTGAAGCTTGCAAAAATAATCGGACAGATTACGCCAGTGTTTTTTTTGAAGCGGTGAATTCATTAGTAAAGAAACCTAAGAAGGCACTGCTGGTTTGAAAAATTAAACATTAATGCATTATCTGTTAGGTGTTTGTTGTATATAAAGAATATAATGTACATAGACTTAAGGTTATCTCATTATTAACGACTAGTCATTAGTGTTTTCATTGTTAAGTTATCGAACTACTGTCTACTGAAGAAACCTATCGACTATCGACTGCATAAATCCTATCGACTATCGACTGGCATGCGGTTGTTCAACGACCAGATGACCTTGAGATAAATTTTACAACGACTCTTGTGCCACACTATGAGACCTGGCACATTAGAGCTCTGAATGTTCAATTCTCAAGTTTGCAGAGGCAAGGAGATAATACTCTTTATATATTAGTCTTCTTGTGAATTATCATCTTAACACCTGACCATGAGCTAGCTAGCCTAAATTTGGTAGCTGTAATTTACTCTAATTTCACTCTATTTAATATCGGAGCTGTAAGTGTAAGCACTTCCTGTAATTCACTCTAATCAACATTGGAACTTTCATAATTCTTGCTTGTAAAAAAAATTAATAATGAGTGTGCATACACGGGTGATACACCCTCAATAAATCAAATATTTACCAGCAAAAATAATCATTTATAATGGTAAATTTTTTGTACATGTAGCATTTCTTTAAAGAGATTATGGTAAAGAATGTTGCTAGTTAGCACTTTCTGCATGTTCTGGTAAGCAAGGCTTGAGAAATAGAAATTGTATGTTGATCAGCCACAGCTAACTACCTAATTGTATGTTAATCAGACACAGCTAGGCCTAACTATCAGCAGAAGTGAAAATTGTAACAAGCAAAATGTTTGCTGCCTTGATTAGAAGGATCCAGATATTAAATGCTTGAGGATAAAATGATTTCAGGGAGATTCATTTTTCTCAAACATCTAGTTCCATGAATTTTTCTACAAATCTTCAGCAAAAAAACTTGATTAGTTCATTAGGCTTAAATGAGCATTTTATTTTACAATTCACAAGAGCATTGAGGCATTTCTGCTAAGAATTATTTAACTTAATCATATTCAGTTATCAAAAGTAGGCATTGAACAGCATGAAGGCCAGAATAAATCCTCATTGCCGTCAAAATGGCAGAGTGATGCAAATTATTTACATCCAAATACCATTGCAAAGTTTTTAGTTTAATATATTTCAATTAATACAGTAAAAAATTAATCAAAGATTGCAATTAACGAATTAAGATTTTTACATTTTGACAAGCATGTCTTCAAATTAAAAAATGAATGTCAGGGAGCACTTGGCTGCACTCAGTGCACTGCAATAATAATATTCAGCTGGCTATGTAGGCTAGGTACAGTGCTATTATGGACCAAAAATTGGGTACTAAAAATAAAAAATACCTAACCAGTTTCTGGTCTTGATTATTACTGATACTGATAGTTTGTAAGTACCTAATCATTTACATTAAGTGATTAAGCAAAATGCCAATATACAGGCAGGGGCGAACAAATACGGAAGATATGTTAACTTGAATTGAATATTAAAACTCATTTTGTAAGAAATTCACTATTAGGCCTTCAGACTTTTATTCCTGTGAGGCTGTGGTAACTCAGACGTCAATTGGTGTCATCAGTGATCTTTTTTCCACCGTATCAGGTTCCGGTAATTATTCTCGATTCAAGACGAATAAACAACAAACACTATTTCAACAGCAAGTTTTATTACACAAATTTACTTCAAGAAAACGCGCTGTCTAGGTGAAGAGCTGTCTAGGTCACTCTAGGAGATAATCAGGTAGCTAATAATCCCAAAACATTAGAACCGAATAGGGGGGGCTATTAGCCTTAGATCTGAACAGATTGGTGGGCGTTGCATCGAGAGTAATGCACCGGATATGATACATTACCAACCTGTAAATGCTCCTGGAAGCGTATAGGTAACGCTTGAGTCATGTTGGCTAATTAACTTTAATCCAAGGCACTGCAAATGTGAAGTGAAGGATTATTTCAACTCAAATATTGTTAATACAACGTTAGATCCTACACCATCCGGATCCAAAATGTCGACCGCAACTGACGTGCGATCAGCAACTTTCTTTGGTATTACTACGCGATGACAGTGTCATATTTTAACACGAAATGAAAATATGAGGTACTATTTTTGTCACAAAATTTTTCACTTAAATAACAGTTTTACATTATTTATCGTGATTACAGAGGTAATTTCTACACATATGAAGCAATTGTTAATAAACTTCTCTCATCGTTAAATTAGTTCTAAAAAGCTTAAGTAGATATAAAAAATTTATGACTTTTGTCGTTATTTAAAAGAATAATTGTCTACTAAAAAGTCAAATTGACAGATAATGAATAATCTTTAGGAACTATATTTTCTTGCGCAGCTTCGAACATAGCTGCGGCCTGCCAACACTAAATCAGTTGTTTCAGGTTTAGAAGAAACGTCGTCTTCGGAGGAGGTGGACTCACATGAGAGTCAAACGCAACGTTTAATCCGGGAAGAAACCAATTATGATAGATTCACATAAACCTTTAGGCTAAACTTGAATGTTATATTTCTCATTCATATTTAAAGCTGTTTGAAGGGACGCAGCAATGAGGGCTGTTTTTTTTTATCTGCAAGCGAATTCTCTATTTTTTGTTCACCGAATGCGAAGGTATTTATGATCAGAACCACGAATAAAAAGAATTTATAAAACTGTTTTTGCATAACAAGCGTTTACCTCTTTTTTTTTTAATAAGATCGTTTGTAAATTTGTAAACATCAACGAAATAATGATTCGTCTGTAAAAAAAATATTACGGTAATTTACGTTCATGAAACCCCCATTTGTTTTTAAAGGTACCAACCAAAGTGAATGATTTGAGTAAACGCAGCAAAACTAAAAAAAAAAAAAATGGCCAAACGCCTGCGTGTCCAGCCGTAAAATTGTCCGAGGCGTGAGTTTTCACTATACGTTTAACGAAGCCGACAAAAATAATTCTGATAACGCGCAGGAGCGTAATGTAAATGAATAATCATGGCTTCATTTTAATTAGGTCAGGATCGGTTTCGATTTGAAAAAGTTTGCGAAGAAAATGTGTTAAAACACAGATTTTAGCGCGCTGATTAAAATTGGAGCGAAAAAAAACAATAAACTGCCAACACTCGCATGAGCCAAATATCAATAAATATCTTCGTTTTCATTAGAATCAATATAGGTTTCAAATTGACAGAATTGTGCGCGGAATACGTGATATGGAAATTCGTCCCCCTTAGTGTCTGAGTGGTTATGAATTCATCAACGAAGTTCGACTGAGTACGTTGAAGCGTTCAAAAGATTGAATATTGAGTAAGAAGCTATAAAACATTCTTATTTCTTCTAGTAATACATGCTGTGAAATCATATTAGAATGAGAACAAAGATATAAATGATGATAGACGATAGACATTGATATGTTTGTATAAGTTATGACACATTCAATTATAATTTTGAACGTATGAGTACAGTTTTAGATATAAAAAGGTTGAACGAAATTTCATTGGCCATTTTTTCGGGGTTTGATTGATACAAAATATCGTAAATTCATGTCATACGTGACACCTCGTATTTAAGTATTTACATATTCTCATACTGTCCATAAATGTCAAACCAAATAATAATACGAACAAAATCATAGTACAGAATTTGACAGACATAAACAAAATAATTATTCTTCGGATGTTATGCAAATGCGACTTTGATTATGTTATATGTTTTATTATCTGAACACTGATTATATTCTTTCGAAAAATTTACTAATAGGACAATTTTATACCGGCGCTATTATCGAATTCGATGTTACTGCGGAAAATAAAAAAATGTGCGAAATTTTCTATCATTATGTGTAAGGTTGCACCTGATTTGACAAACTATAACATTTACTTTCCAATATTTGACAAGAACGCATAAAAAACATTGACCAAACCATGTCTGGACGCATGGTGATAAGGTCGAGTGTTGTAACGATAACCTCAGCGTGTCGTCCTAACGGTAGATATTCAAATCAAAGATACGATGATGATTAATCTCCTATCGAGCTAGGAAAACCTAGCTTGTCACCTTAGACGTGGAACTTTTGAATGTAGATAGCGATATCCGGTGCTATTGTCTTCATTGTTTTACAATGGGATCTAAGGAAAGCATTGCGTTATATATTGTCATAAAATTCTAAATGTATAATTAACGATCGTATTATCGTTCAACTTTTAAATTTAAATATTCTTTATGCATAACAAACGTTAATGATCATCTGGCATCACAGAGACACGGAGGGCAACCGGAGCAGCGACGACTTTAGTGCAAGTTTAAACCTTAGCCGCCAGCATGAGAGAGAAGGAAGACATGTATAACTTCAGCAAGGAAGGAATCCTGCCTTAATAGCTTAACACCATAGCTGAGGCGCAGTACAGTGCGACACACCCATGCAGGAGCCTAATACCTCGCATGGGCCAAGAAGTACGTCTGAAAGCCCTGCCGAGACGGTTGACATTTTTCGGATGTATAACAAAAATGCAAAGATTTTTTGCGCTATGGATGCTGGTCACGCGACATGTATCAGTTGGGTAACAAGTTTTGGCTGTATTTAGACATTACTACACATTTTTGGGTGGTTCCACGTTGGGAAGACGGTTTCTTTCCGTTAGTAATTCAGAAGATGCACGTTCGATCTTCCAGGCATGCAATTTAATTCCAGTCATTAAATAATTTCAACACCTAATTATCATATCGCACATCAATGAATAACTAGAGGGGCGATGCGATGCATGAATAGAAGAACGGTAAAACTACATAACCTTTCAACGACATTGCACTAAAAAGTAACTGTAACTGCAACGACATGCAGTACAGACTACCACAAACTACTGAATTCATTAACTTGTCCACCAAGTTAAAGAATAGGTAACACGACACTTTCAGGGTCACTAACGATTTTTTGTCCGGTTATCTTACACTTAGCAATGTTAATTAACTAATACTAGATAGTTAGTTTAGTAGCCACATGTTTACACTAGTGCTTCAGCTATCTCGCATCGAAAGTCAAGATGAACATCACCAAAGAGGTGGAAGGTCTCAGTTATCGAAGGTTTTTTTAAATCAAAAAATCGTTCAACACCCACAAGGGGCGGAAGGTCTCAATTGTCCAGCCAGCGAAAAAAGCAGCGTTAGCATCTCAAAGAGACGAAGTGACAAAGAGGGACAGGTGAAAAGTAACAGAAACTAAGACACTCGAACAAGAGGTCGCTTACACGGGACGTCGGCCACCCGCACGAGAGAGACAGAGAAGAGAAATGTAAGTGATCCTACCTAAATTATAACTTAATGTAAGGACTCCTACCTGCGTTATAAATTAATGTAAGGAATTCTACCTACATTATAACTTAATGTAAGGAATCCTACCTACATTATAACTTAACCCCACAATTGAGACCAACAGTCAGACACCACGAACTCAGCGGTGGGGCGCTCAGGAACAATCCCCCTAGAAGCGCGAAATCCCATAGGAGTGATAGGACTTCTGACGAGCACAGACACGCGTCGGGAGTCCGCCCTGAGGGGTAATACTACATAAACTGAGAACGCATTGTAGCTGTTAACACGTGCCAGGCAATCGATTCTAGTCTGCAGCCGTTAAATACAAAGGGAGTAGATTTTTACCGCATTAATTTGGATGAAATAAATCACATCTTCATGTATCAGTCTCACGAGGTAGGTACCTAGTGACACGAGGCGATTGATCTGTGGACCTTAAAATGGCGATGCATTTCATCTTCACTGTGCTAGTGGCAAAACTGATGTCCAAAATATTTCGACGATTAACCATAACTGCATTGGGAGTTGCCAGTTAAATATACAAGTCGATTGCTCACACAAAATCGTGAAGATTCATACATTGAAATGTCTCAAAATGAATATTCTATCACATATGGACCTTTGAGCTTGAGAGAAACTTCATACGCTTATTGAACAATCATTCCATTAGTTATAATCAAGGATAATGAGGAAGTGGTATGACATAAACTATTTTCTCAAGGATTTACAAGTCTTCGGTGACTTAGTCCTCCATATCCATTTCCTCGTCTATTCCAGCCGCCCCATCTTCGTCCTCAGCATCACTGACGTCATCGTCACTGGTGATGTCACCGTCTGAACCCTCTTCGTCAGCACCGGCGAGCTGCATTTGTTTGTTCTTCGAGATGATCTTGGTGACGACTCCAGTTTGACGCTCCCACGCGCTGTACAAATGCACGCGAAACTCTGCGTTCTTGTAGCCCAGCAGCCTCTGCAACACAAAAATGTTGGTAACACGGCGTTCTTGTAGCCTAGCAGTCTCTGCAAACAGAAATGTTGGTAACACGGCGTTCTTGTAGCCTAGCAGTCTCTGCAATCCTACAAAGCCCGGAGGCACACTGAGCTACACCTCATAGAAACACTGTATTTGTAGTGCTGGGCAGCGAATTAGCTCCTATGTAATTACTGGAAGAACTCTCCCCCCGCCCCCCTTTCATGAAGTGTCGTGAACGTACAAATCAACGTACAGAGATGGTAATGGTACCGTTGGATAGGCCAGAATGTCAGCTTTAAGATGAGACTAAACACGTAACTGCAACACAACTCAAGTAGACACTATATTTAAAGAGCTCAGCAGCTAATTAGTTCCTATCTAATCACGAAGAACTCACCCACCCGCCCCCCTTTCATGAAATGTCGTGAAATCATAAATCAACGTACAGATATGGCAGTGGTACCGTTGGATAGGGCAGAATGTCAGCTTTAAAATGAGTATAAAAAACGAAAAAGTGAAAATTTTCAATTTTAGGGTAGACGCTCCCCTTAAATAAGACACCAAAAATCTAAAATTGACTGGGGCCATACTGTATGTCTTGAAGCACCTTGTCAATTGATTTTTTTTACCATCTCCAGAAATAGTTTATCTCAGTTCCCCATACATTTTTCCCCATTATCAGAGGTGAATTTGTGTTATAGGAGAGAAAACATTTTCAAAAACAACTTCGAAAGAATGTTAAGACCTGTACCACAGTGCAGGTCTTGATAGCAATGCCGTGCTTCAACTCTAATGTACACAATGCATATCTTGATGCAAAATGACTACGTGTGTGGATGCTAAGCCCTAGGACTTAGATACTAAGGCCTAGGCATGAGAGTAATACCTAGATTTGGACGCCAGTGCCTGGGGCGGGTGCCAGGGAGTAGGTATTCATTGTCCAGAAGTGGCCGCCAGTCCTGAACTAAGAGCAATATCAAGGTCCTGAAGAAGACCTACCAGGAGCGTGGCCTGGTGGGCAGTGAGCCGCTTGCCCTTTGTACAGACGGTGAAGGGGATGAGGAGTTCAGGCACACCGCATCCGGCGTTTTGGACCTTGAGGCGCGTCACGAGCCCCAGCTTGCGCAGGAAAGGCTCTTGGTTGTGCGTGAAGCCCTCCAGCACGCCAGGCTGCAGCGTCAGTGACATGGGCGCCAGGTTGCTGGGCCGCGAGTGCACCGCCACGCGGTGACTGTTGAAGAACCTGCACAACGTGTGATGTGTCAGCTCTTGCCTGTGTTTGGTGCTATATTAAAGTACCTAGCTTGCCAGATATTAAAAGTGTTACTTTTGCTAATTTCCAATGAGGGCATTATGTGTGTAATTAAAATTTTAATTTTGAGTTGTTATTTCTTATCATTTTTAAAACTTGAAGTAATAATGTGTTGTGTGCTGTGGACACAATTAAAAAAGTCTACATATGCAATTTCATTGAGAGTAAGACTATGGTATACCAGTTATGAAAGCTTCATTTGCAAGTATTTTTAACAATCTTGAGCAGTCTAGCAGTAGCATTTAATTCTACACTTGACATTCTTGCGTGGCTGCATAGATAACCAATACAGCACAAATGAATGGAAGAAGTAAGCACAATAAAATGAATAAAATCAACAGAACAGATTTATGTGAAACATTTAAGCAAGTTGACAATAAAAATGTCTGTCAGAACTAGAAACTGTTATGACTTTGAACACAAGTGTCAGGCATGTTTGTTTGGGACATTACAAATTATATACACAGAACTTAGTTATAATACATAAAAGACTTGTGCTTTTGTATGGCCCGAGAGGCAGCCAAATATCCATTAAAACAATGAAAAGTTCTCACCAAGAAACAGTAGGAGACATATAATAACAACTCGCTCAATAATACCGCCCACCTTATACAATAACAACTCACTCAATAATACCGTACACCTTATACAATAACAACTCACTCAATAATACCGTCCACCTTATACAATAACAACTCACTCAATAATACCGTCCACCTTATACAATAACAACTAACTCAATAATATCCTCAAGCTTTTCATTGGTAAACAATATGCCTCGCTGGCCAATAAGCTGTGCAGACACCTGGTGGAGGTTCTCATCAATTTCTTCTTCAGGAGTTCTGCCGAGGGCGATCTGTAGAACTCTGTTCTTTCCTAAGAAAAATCTGCACAGAATTGTTGTGTTTTAGAGCATCATTTTATTATGCAAAAAAAAAGTAATTAACAGACAACTTGAAGTAAATTTGGAGACATGAAGGCTAAAAGTTCATAGCACAATGTACAAAGATATCTATGAATAATTTGTAATAATTGAAAATGTTATTTTCATTTCATCCCAGAAATATGAAATTCATCAGGAAACAGTGAGAATGTTGAATGAGATGGCAACCTCCTTTAATGATGAGCAAATAATAGACATAGCCTTCATAATATTTAACTTGATTACTATATATATTTTTAAACTTTTATGTGGAAATTTCAATCCTAGTAATGCAAGCTCTTATTCAGTTAATGCTGTATAAGTTATAAATAGTTTACAGGATGCAAACTTGTTATTCATTTACCACAAATCCTTTTCATATGAGAAGTACTTTATATAGATACCCTTTCATTAATCACTAGGTTCATAGTAAATATTTTTACTTTATTGATTTTTAATCATGAGCTGAAGAAGTAGTTGCTTACTTGCTTTTCCTGTACTTCTTTCTCAAGTCTTGTATTAGGTCTGTACGAGGATTGATAAACCTGAAGACAATCATACGGTCATAGTGTTGTATTTGCTCTCTTAGTTTGTCAGCCAACTCTTGCTTCCACTGGACTGTCTTCTTTTGATTGACGGTGAAGCTATCTGCAGAAAATAAAATGTGACAAAGGAGGATAGAAAATTAAGGTTGTTGGTTGATAAAGTTTCTTCAAATAATGATTAATGAATATTTGAATATTATTTATTGATATTTTGATCAGGTATTTACATTTGCTGCTATAATATATTGAACCAGGATTTTCTAACTGCTAAATGAGGCCTGCACAGAATACATCAAAATCATGCAGGTTAGTAGCCATGTCATAAACTTGTGTATATGTGTACTTAAAATAAAAATGATTTTAATCACACTAACAAGCAGGTTGTCCATAACAAGGGCAACATGGTAATCTGCATACAAAACAATAGACATCAAGCATGGTAAAAGTGGCTGCTAAGCAGAAATTTGCTTGAATTATATACACCCTTTCGACAACCATGACATCATAAGATCAAGCCATTGTTTCACTGAATATGGCTATATTTTCTCAACATAGGACATAGGTTAGATTAAAAAGAAGAATCAAAGCAAATTTGCATAACTTTGAAGGAAAATGACTAGAGTATTGAGTATTAATATACCATACTACAGTCAAAAAATAAGCACTACAAAAGGGTATTCTTATGCATCACATCATAGCTTCTCATGAACAATAGGTATTTAGTGAAAAACAAATTAAAATTTAATCTGGAGCTCCACTATATGCAGGGTGCATACTGGTATTCAGAAAAAAATTTCATGACTTTTCCATGACCTGGTTCTAATAATCTTTGAATGTTAACTGAAAAGAGAGTAGTTGGTGCAGCAGAACCAAACTTTACCAGAACATGTACAAGATGTGTATCAAACCTACACATCCACTTGTATAGTTATTTGATCTTATAATATTATTATGGATCCATTTTTCTCCGCTGGTTCCAACTGGAACTGCTTGGCATTAATGGGTTAACACACGCAGCACAGAAAAACACTTCCTTTTGTCTTCATTTATTTGCAAATTCCATAACTTTCGCAAACCTGAAATGCAATCCCATGACTTTCCAGGCCTGGGAAGTGAAAAATCAAATTTCACGACTTTCCAGGTTTTCCATGACCAGTATGCACCCTGTATACATGAAAGTACTTCATAATTAAATTCTGAGCATCATATATCCATAAAATAGCATATCATAACTGTAGTCTTAGCATTGCACTCTAGACCCCACTGACAATGCCTGGGGTTATTAATTTCTTTTATTAATTTTCAGTGAACAAATTAGTATACATAAATAATCATCAAAGTATATTGTGCAAAATTGGAAATAAAAAAATTTGACTTTTAACCAATATACATATTTATGATTTCAGTAACAAGTAGGAATTTTCAAATCTTGTTGCAGCAAACCATTCTGCAATATTAGGTAGGAGCCACCCGTGAGAGACAAAAACACCTGTGCTTAATGGGGGCGTCTACCATCCAGAAAAACTTCCATATTTACTAACAGATCTTTCTGAAACTTCACACATATATGTAAAACCAAAATACAAGCAGATTTTGTTTGTATGATTTTTTGGAAAATCAATAGAAAATGGACAAAAAAAAAAGCACTTTAAGAATCTCCCCCTACAGTTTTCAAGCCACAGCATTGAAAGATATACCGTCAAACGGGGTAAAAAGGGACGGTTTTGAGCGTTTTTTGTTAATAACTTCTTACCATGAAACATTTCAGAAACAAGTTTAGGCTCATTTTTTATGTTTAGTTTAGGCCATGGACATGCCATTGAGCATTAACAAGAACCTTGTCCACTGCAAGCTTCATATCAGCAGCTATGTAGCATTTCTTCTGTATCTGTAAGCTTACAGGATGGTTTGTAATTTTGCACAATTTTAATCGAGTCTAGTGATTTCACAATAACAAAAAAGATCATGAAAAACATACCTGAAACAGAAAATAATGTTTTAGTGACAACCATCATATGTTTTGAAGAAATAAATCATAGTTTAGGTCAATTACTTTTCATTCTATGATGCCTTTGCACAATTCTATATATAGATTATATGTACAATTTTGTGACGACCGATGATGCACTAATTTTTCGATAAGTGAATTTTTTTCCCTTTTTGCAGAATTGGCTGCCATTTTTTTTTTTTTGAATGAGGTAGGCAAATTCTGTCGATTACTTTTTCAAGCCGACACCTGGGTGCAACTTTTATGTAAGTAAAATTTTTCAATACGGTAAATATTTTTTTTGCTCCAGACCTTAGCAGAGGTACTTTTTCAAAATCGCACTTTTCACACTATTTTCAGCAATTTTTTAGAGATAGTAAATGTTTGATTTCTTGACTAGCTTTATACATAATAGATAGTAAAAATGTTGAAGTTTATGCCACTATTTTTAGTTTTGCAATATTTTGATTAGTTTAGCTGCTACAACATTTCTACGAAATGTGGGACGCGCATCCATATTTACCCTGCCCGCCCCTTTTTACCTCGTTTGATGGTACCATTTGATTTGTAATGACCATACCAATTGAGTAACAAAGCCTGATTTTTTTTTATTTTTCCCTTAGTTTTTTACTTTTTTTACACACCTTTTCCTGTTTTCTTTTAATTTGCTTCAGATTTTCACCCCTCCCCCCATTTTGGATCCAAACTATACACAAATCTAAAAAAAGGCTTTGTTACTCGATAGGTATGGTCCAAAGAGAGACAGTGCAAGTCACCCAGTGAGAACATAGAAAAATTTGTCAAAGTTGATAGTTGACCTTGCTCTACCAAATAGTGATAAACTGTTTGTGTAGAACAGTAGAAAGAATATTATGGTTTGAGACTTTGAAATAAGTCTGTGAATATATTAGGAATCCTTTAAGTATACTTGTATTTGCTGATTTCAAGTGGTAAATAAATTAATAGATGATTAAGATAAGAGATGGTTTTAGACACATAAAAACTAATTCTGACATAGCTTGGAATTAGACACACACAGCTCATTCCAAGCTGTGTGCAAAAATCAAAATTTTCTTAATTAAAAACCTAATAGCTCTTAATTAAAAGCCCAATTAAGTAGTGTTCAATATTCAATAGTGTTCTAATTCCGAGCTGTGTTGTATTCCAATACAGCTCACACAGCAATCGGAATTCAAACACAAGAGGTTAGAATTACGAATTAGTAGAGTTTGAAGCGCGGCCGGAATTAGTCTCACAAAATGCCTAATTTAGTCACACACAGCGTCAGAATATATGGATTTGGTAGGTTTGCATTCTACAGGCTTTTAAATAAATATGGCAACAGTTTGTGACGATTCATTGTTGCTGATGCATAGTGCGGTGTTTTGAGAGTAACGTAAAGCAAACAGAACTCGAGTTGCGCATACGGTGATTTTTTATAGCCATTCATTTTTTGCTACGTCCTTAATGTGTCGGAATATACCGCGTTTACCCTAGTGTTTTGGCAATAGTATGGTGCGCAATAGTATGACGTCACTATTTCAACCATCGATGAATGCGTGGAACTAAGACAAAGCTTAATACAAAGGAAAAGAGTTAAGAAGTGTCAGAATTACCCACAATGTTGGAATATACCACGTTTACCCTAGTACTAGAATTATTATAGTTCTCCTTATTAACTACATCTGTCGCTTGCAGGCTGGAATTCTAAAATTCGTGGTTTACATAAAAAAAGCGTTCCGCCTTGAAAAAAAACGTTCCAGGGAACTAGAAACAGGTTTGCAGGCCGTCAGAAATCGGCTTCGCTTATGGTAGCTATGATCGTATGAATGTCAAGTCAGGCAACACAGAGAAGGTCCCATGCAAGATTGTTAATTGCGTTTGTCACTCACAGATGAGCAAGAGGGATGGATCTACAGAAGGAAATACTATTTACTCCCAACATAATAGTTTCAAATTAAATATAAATATTACCTATTCATTACCTCAGCTTTCAAATTGAGGAGAAACTCATCGGCAGTTGGAGAAACTTCTCGAAGAAAAGGCAATGCATACCGTCAACCGGGGCAACTCGGGACTGGCGGGGTCACTCGGGACGCACCTCCGACACGGCATAAAACTGTTATAGTAGCGAAACTAATTGGAATATTGCAAAACTAAATATAGTGGCGTAAACGTCAACATTTTTCATATCTATGTAGTATAAAGGCAGTCGAAAAATACGACATTTACTAGCTTTGAAAAATTCCTGAAAAAAATGGTGTAAAACGCTGTTTTGAAAAGTTACTTCTGCTAAGGTCTGTAGCAAAAAAAATATTCGCCGTACTAAAAAATTTTACTTACATAAAAGTTGCACCCAGGTGTCGGCTTGAAAACGTAATTGGCAGATTTTGCCTATCTCATTCCAAAAAAAATGGCGGCCATTTCCGCACGGCGGGGCTACTTGGGCCACCCCCCGGGGCTAGTCGGGACACCTCCAAAAACGCATTTATGGTAGAACCTCAGTTAGCAAAAGCTCCAATTATGAAAAAAATTGATTAAAAACAAAGAATATTGATCACATTTTCCTTGCTCAGCAAAAAAAATTTCACTTATCGAAAAATTAGTGCATCATCAGTCATCACAAAATTGTGCATAGCATGTCATGTATAGAATTGTGCACCAGGCATCATAGAATGAAAAGTAATTGACCGAATTGCCCCGTCGAACGGGGCAATTCGGGACACTGGGAATAAAACTTCATTTTAAAACACTTGAAGCATGCAGAGCATACTCATCCATTACTAACAGTACTCTGAAGTCCTCCTCTTTCATTGTAGATGATGTAGAGGTAGAATAAATGACATTTTCTGTGATTTTTACTTGTTTTTCCTTTATTGATATGATATTGCCATATACATTAATTACCGTATTATTGATGTGACATTATCTTATTATCTGTGACGTTGCACACGTTCTAGCGATGATTGGATCCCTGTGACAGTACATTGGACGCGTTCAAGCGTTGATTGGATTCTTGTGACTGTTACGTTGGACGCGTTCGAGCGTTGATTGGATTCTTGTTACTGTGATGATGCAAGCGCTGTTTTTTTTTCAATGAAACAGCTGTGGCATCA